AAAATCTCCATAACTGCACATATTAATGAGCTTTTCTGTTTGTGGTTTCAGATAATTGTGGCTCGTGCCACTTTCATTTCCCAGACCAGTTACAATTTTAAACAGCACAAACCTTAAAGCCCAGATCATCTATAAAAAAAAAAAAGAAAGCTGAAGTAAGAGCCTACATCGACACTCGTGGCATTTCCATAAGTGCTCCGTCTTTATCTTCAGCATCCAAAAGAAAATGCCCAATGCCGGTAGTACTGGTAGCAGGTTGATCCTATAGTAAGAGTCTTGTGTTTCTTATCAGAGCAGACTGTCGACCAAACTCACAGGGCGCTAACCGCTGCACCAGTCTCTCTACCGCATAATGGCATATTCGCGCTTTCACGTGCAATATTTTAAAAGTCCTTATCGATAGAGGAATACGTTGAGTGAATTTGCGAAGTCCTGTAAAGGATATTTTGACATCGTTTCGACTTTCTAGTCGACAGTGTTATATTGCGCTATGGTGGGACGGGAGAATCACAGCCAATGGCGATTGTGATTAGCAAGACCCGCTCGTTTTTAGAAGTCTTTTACAATCAGAGCAAGGAATTGCAGGAAAAATTGTTGCAATGAGATGTATATGGACTTTCTAGTCGACAGTGTTATATTGCGCTATGGTGGGACGGGAGAATCACAGCCAATGGCGATTGTGATTAGCAAGACCCGCTCGTTTTTAGAAGTCTTTTACAATCAGAGCAAGGAATTGCAGGAAAAATTGTTGCAATGAGATGTATTAGTGGGTTTCTTCTTAGATGCTTGGCTTTCATACCTTTCTGCAATCATTTTTTTTTTTTTGGTGGTTCATGTATTTTCATTCCCTTCCTGATAGTTTCCCTCCACGTAACACCGTGCGTGGCATTTTGTTGCCACAAATCAGCATCAATACCCTTATCTTTCATGACCCGCCTACACACATCTTTTTATGGATTAGAGGCCGAACTCCACATCTTCTACTCATCTGAAACTCTCTATAGAAGATTTTCTTTGGGACAGTAAAGAATATTTAACTAGCTTTAACTTCATTAAGAAAAGGAGGACACATGTAACTTAGACTGGCTTGGGAGGCTCTGCAGGGTTTCTCAATATCCATTTTATGACGTCTCTGATGTGCCACAATTCCAAGAGTCTTAATTAAATATTTATAAATGGAAATACAGGACTAAGTAAAGAGAGTAAAACACTCGTTTTCACTTCGCTGGCGTATTGAGTGTATATTAAATAAACAGAAATAAACCAGACTTTTAATGCCAGTGGCGTTGCACTCTTTTTTTTCCGAGGCCGCATTGAAGGAGGAAAATGAAGAAAACGGTCACCGCCTCCTTAACAAGCAGGTCGTAAGAGTCGATTCACTGTGGGCTTTTCTTCAAGGTCGGAAGTGTATCTGTCTGAGAGGCAAGACACCGATAGAGGGTATACAAATCAGCCAGATCTGTAAAACGATGTGCAGACACAAGTCACTCAAGTCTTGGAACAGGACTCAAGTCAAGAAGTTGATCAATAACCAGAAAATTCCGCCGGAGTTTACCATCAGTGAATGCGGAAAAGAAAATGAAGATATCAGTCCCGCAAGGGGCAAATAACTCTAGGCTCATAATTGTATACACCGTTGGGGACTTGATAACTGATGTTTTTAAAATCACACCCGTCGTCTGTACTTCTATGGCCCCCCCGTGAGGGTTCCGGGGCCCCATTGTGGGGAAAACAAGAAAAGACCCACTGCCTCCCCAAAAGCATGTCGTAAGAGTCGACTAATTGGGGAGCTTCCTTTGAAGTCGGAGTGCATCTGCTGGAGAGGCAAGGAACCAACAGTCTGTATTCAAGAGAATGAGATCTGTAAAACTGATGCACGCGCAACCAGAACTTTCCGCCAGAGTGTACAGCTGGTGAACGCGAAGAAGAAGAAGTCTTCCATGGTCGACACGGAGGCCACGATTAGGAAAATAAGAGTAACTCTATATTTACACGAACTAGTGGGAACCCCAATCTCTCCTCGTTAAACCTAGCGTAGCACAAACAAATTAAAATATTCACGTACTATACTAGGTGCAAACAAAGAAAGATTGACGGGAACGATAATATCTTAAGGACAGTCGGTACTAAACCATTACTGATCTTTATAAGTAGACCACAAATCAAATGATTCGACCATGTAACAAGACTGGAATTAGACAGAGAGCAATGTTCTACAGACACAGCGGTAGCAGAGTCAGAGGTCGACCACGCAGAACATGGACCGCAGAAATATCAGAGACTGAAAAGTACTTCATACGAAGCCAATAAAATTATCTGTCGTTTCCATGTGGGATGCATTTTTTCGTTATTTAAATCTTTTGTCATTGGCCCTGAATTTAGCCAGGTCATAAAAATGGCCTAGCCATAGATATGACCATAACGGCTGAAAGGAGTTTCAGGGATCTCTCCACAGGTGATTCTCTTCCGCATGGTGACACTTTTTGTCAACGGGTGTTTATCACTTGTGTGATGTCATGGTGGGGTACAGCAAGCAAGCGAATTAAAGAGCCACTTACAGTGATCTCTTCCTGTCCTGACACCGCGAGGCATTCCAGGAGTAGGCAAAAGAAGAAAAAGTGGGAACCCCGGTGATATAGTAAATATGACCCGAGTGACCTTTGCTTCACATAGCGTTTTTAGCTTGCTATGGGAGAAATATCCTCTAAAGGATTAAATGCATAAAGAAATTCGTGTTAGTTAGCTGCCTACCCTTTACAGAACGTTGCAGAACTAACCACAGCATTTTAGGGCTTTTGTGGTTTTCTTGGCAAATTTTACGTTAAGTACTTTTCCATTCAAACTACTGGACGTAAATTTGCCTAGAAAAACCACACAACATCCAGGACCTGTTGGGGTTGGTTCTGCAACGTCCTGTAAAGGATACGCAACTAACCTTATGTTTTTTATTGCTACTACTGTACGGTCAGCTCTGGATACCACTGTCGAAAACAACACAAAACACATCCTCCGCAGCTGGGATGAAACAAATCAACCCCAGCATTACAAAGCGCGTTCGCAACGTTTAAGCCACAGACGCCGACGAGATGCATGTGAGAAAGTTGAAGGTAAAATTTTCACTCCAGACGTGCACCAGATATAAGATGCTAAACATAACTGTCATTGGGTGGTGCAATCAACATCACAACGACCGAGTATAGAAAATTTCTTGGTACCCACTTTTCACCTGGGAGGACATGGAAGCCAGTCAACCTTATTATGACAATAAACGAGTACATATTTTCAGGCTGCCTTATTAAAACGCATATTATCTAACATTATATATTTCCCTCCATATTATTTAGCACATAAACCTTAGTAGGCAGCAAGCAATTTGAAATTCTAATTGAGGTCATGAGATGTGGATACATGGCATTTCATGTAAACAAAAAGTCGTTTTTCATAGACTGATAGACATAGAAACAACAGAAGTTGTGTAGAGAATGGAAATGGAAAGTAAGCTGTCAGCAGAAATTTATTTAAAAAAAAAAAAAAACAGCATGGAATATTTTCGATGCACTAAAAGACTTTTAACACTCTTTTATAAGAAACATTGCAATCTTACTAGAGATCCACTGCAGCCAAGCTTCAATGTGGAGACGGAACCTGCTTGACTGATAGATTGATTAATTATCTGGACTGACCATAAGAATTCAGAACACACATTCATCGAGTAGGTCCTATTGTTTATTTACTCATGGTTGTGATACCACAGCAAACACCACACCAGTGGTTCCTAACTATTTTGACTAGCTGAGCCCATTTCTCTAGGTCGTGGGTTCGTTTTACGTCGGCGCCGTTTAGATCACGAGTGCAAATTTTACAAAGATCCATGGGAGGTCCTCACTGGAGCTACTGTGATCATGCTCTGTGCGACCTTTTTGACAGGCAGCTAGCCGTTCGGGAAGAGAGACTGAGCCATATGGGATAAACCCGGTGCAATTAAGTCGATCCTCTCACATTTAGCTTTACCTCAATCCATTTTCTTGGTGAGAATTAGGTAGATCTGAAGCGAATGGTAAGTGTCCTATTCACGTCAGCATCTATATCGCTGATTCATCATTTCTTGTGTTTGATTTTATTCAGCTTTTCTATATTTCTGGAGTAGCCGCGGGACCAATGAAATGCGCCTACAGATCATCGCGAAGCACAGGCTGAGAAACGCTGTCTTGTATATTTTTTCAGCCAGAGAGATGAACTCTGGCATTCAGAATCAACCATGCACGACAAACTTGGGAACACCAGTAAAGAAATCAAGCTCTCCGTCCTAATTTGACCAATACTGGAATGGTAGTCTGGTCTGGTAGTCTTAGTTTCAGCTTCATAGCAAACGGGTCACCCCATCTTTGCTCCGCTCCTGTGCCAACGAAAAACACACATAATGTATATTACAGTCCCTTGTGGAAAGATTCACAGACTGCCGTCTCAGCATATCTAGCATACACTCGCATTAAAGCCTACTGTAGCCATCCGAAGTGCTAACACAAACAGTCTGATATAAGAAATGCAGTTCATCATTGATGGTAGCAAAAATCACCAACAGATCAGCAGTTGCCCACGCGATCAATTTTAAATACATACGGGCACCATCAACATTGCAACGACAAGCATCGCGCCATTTTCTGAATCTACAATTCACACCACCACGTTGGTCACAGTCGAAAATACATTCCAAATGAAATCCGCAGCTCACAGGGTCACGCCATGCATTCAACTCAGAAGCTGGGCGACGAAACTATGTCCAGTCTACAAATGGAGCAAAAATGCATCGGCCACCGTCAGGCAGAAGCAAAAAAAAATTGCATTGGCTTCGAACAGTGCCCCTGCCTAGCGTCCATTTTGACCGGAAGCCATATCGTAGCCCAATTTTACGCGTTGACGGCTGAAAAAAGGACTGATTTCTCGACTGATTGAACAATTGTCTTATGTATATCTTTATATGTATGTGTGTGTATCCGCAGTGTTGCAGAGTGTGCCGGCCTCGTGTGAATGCAGAGAGAGAACCAGGGTCATCTGTGAGCCGCATGCCTTGGACGGAATGCCATCCTCCATATGTAACCGTACTACAACTTTGTGAGTAAAGTGTTCATTTTGGGAACTCTTTCTCTCCCCCCCCCCTCTCTCTCTCTCTCTCTCTGTCTCTCTCTCTTTTTTTTTTTCTCGCTCTTTCTCTCTCTGAAACTTTGTCTCGCACGCTCTCTCTCTCTCGCTCTCTCGGAAACTGTCTCGCACGCTCTATCTCTCTCTCTGAAACTTTGCCTCGAACGCTCTTTCTCTCTCTCGCTCTCTTTTTCTCTCTGAAACTCTGTCTCGCACGCTTTCTCTCTCTCTCTCTCTCTCTCTCTCTCTCTCTCTCTGAAACGTTGTCTCGCACGCTCTTTCTCTCTCTCTCTCTCTCTCTCTCTCTCTCTGAAACTTTGTCTCGCACGCTCTCTCTCTCACTCTCGCTCTCTCTGAAACTCTGTCTGTCACGCTCTCTCTCTCTCTCTCTCTCTCTCTCTCTCTCTCTCTCTCTCTCTCTGAAACTTTGTCTCGCACGCTCTTTCTCTCTCTCTCTCTCTCTCTCTCTCTCTTTCTCTCTCTCTCTCTCTCTCTCTGAAACTTTGTCTCGCACGCTCTCTCTCTCTCACTCTCGCTCTCTCTGAAACTCTGTCTGTCACGCTCTCTCTCTCTCTCTCTCTCTCTCTCTCTCTCCAGCTCTCTCTATTTAAAAAAGCTCTTTCTTTCTGTCTGCCTTTACGTTTGTCTGCATTTTAATGCATTCACTCATGTTCTTCTCAGATATTTTTCTTTCTGTCCTGTCTTCTTCCCAGTTAAATAGTTTATAGTGTCTTATATTCTGTCCTTCCTTGCTGTTTTGTATAATTCATTGTTTGCCAGGTTTTTAATTCTTCAGATTGTTCTTTTCTGGTTTCTTGTATTGTTTAATATTTTTCAATTTTTTCTTCTCATTTGCCCTTTCGATCATTTTCGTTATTTATTTATGCATCTATCTTTTTATTGGAAATAATCATCCTATCATTTTTTTTTCAAACTCTACAGAGTAAAGAAATTTACAGTTTTGAGATACATAAACCACTGCGCAATGTCTATGCAAAGTAATAATATTTTAAACAATTTGAAATTAAATTACCGTAATAGTGTGTTCTATAATATAAATCTGCTCAAATGTGTACTGTCAATGGTTGATGAGAGTGGCTACAGATGCTGGACTGCTTTCAGCCCACAATATCTACACATGGACGATGGGGAAGGTGGAAATGTGTTTGGTAGTGTTAGATTGTAAGCGCTGGGAGACCTGGGATGGCGCAAAATTAGAATGATGAGGATGATAACGACGATATTGATGACGATAAGGATGATGATGATGGAATAGAAGCCAGAAAAAAAGCAGAAGCAGGCATAGAAATTAAATTCAGAAAGTAAATATTTGAAATATCAAAGCATCAGGAATTTAATTAAAAAACCTTTTTTTTTTTAAATTTATTCTTGTGTGGATTCCCGTGCCTCATTGTGATTACAATAAAGAATAGACCCACCCACCCACATCAGCCCTTCCCCACCCCAGTCAATCTTTTTTTTTTTTCAACAAGCACGCCTAATAAGGTGACTAAATAAGTGTTTTAAAATCGAATTAACAGGGCCAAAAGTCGCAGATATCGCAAACTAGCTGTGAACCATAACACAACATGCCAACCTCAAATTCAAGAGCTAAGATATACGAAGAAGAAGAAGATATAAAAATATAAATAATAAATTGTTGTATGGGCTCTGGGGCTCCATTTTCGAGGCCCAACAATAGACCTGCTGATCCACTTCTTTGGCATGTTGTAAAAGGTAACTAATTAGGGCTGTTTCTTTCACAGTCGGAGTAAGTCTGCATGAGAGCACAAGAACCAACAGTCTGCATACGAATAAGCCAGATCTATAAAACATACGTGCACGCAAAACTCAACTTCTGGATCAAGACAAAAGTCCAGAGTTTAAAAAAAAAAAAAAAGAACTTTCTTCGCAAGTTTGCAGCCAGTGAACTACAAGAAGTGAAGGGAGAAATAAATTACAATCAATTAATAAAGATAAAATATGTATGGATCTGCGTTTTTATGTGATTTTTGTTTCCTGCAGGCATCTGTCTCTGAACAGGATCTACAACATTAGTCAGGAGCAGTTTGAGCTCCTGCCAGAGCTACAGGTCTTGTAAGTGCTATATGAGCCGATTTTGGCCAGTTGTTTTTTTTTTTTCAAGCAGAAACCAGATGATCATAGGTTCGAAACCATGTTAGGGAGGATTTAAAAAATTCAGCAGAACTCCAATGTCGCACTGCCTAAAATGGATTGGCACTAGGAGTAGTTTTGCAGTTGAAGACGGTCGCTACACGGTTTACTTCCAACAACCACTGAGCGAGTGAAACTGAACGCCACTAAGACCGATCACTGAGCGATTAACACCCGGCCATACAAAGTGTAAAAGTAAGTAAAGGACCCTGTTCCACGCCTTTAGGCGTATAGGGCATATAGGGCTAGACCTATATTTTTATAGACCAATCAGCACAAGATGGGTGATGTGGTCAGCATCACGCCGCATACAAAGTGTAGAGTAGCATTACTCAGATGAGAATCCCCTAATTACAATCCCAGAAACCCATTTCAACCGTTAGGATATACTGGGTTTCGTGAGTGTCAAAAAGTATCATGAAGTTCGAGACAGGGCTAGCCTGATCCGTGAAAACACTGTGCTTTTATTTCAACGGAAGGCGACATTTTGTTAACAACTGTGTCGTATGTGGCTCTGGTACACCACGACAAACACCGAAGTATGTCTCACAGTACTTTCAAAACGTTTACATAGAGAAGAGACATCTGACTCTTCTTCCCTTTGATAACAATTATAGTGCTTCAAACAACAACAACAACAACAACAACAACAACAACAAAATCTTCTTAAAGTCATTGATAATTGACTTCCCTTTTACTTAGAAATGTGTTTTCTTTTATCAACACCTTTTCCTGTCGCGCTAGGTAAGTTTGCAGCCGTATAGCGACCTTTTGACAAACTCCTTGTGGTCCAAGTTCACGCTCGGAGGGTAGGCAGATAATCATTTATTTGCTAGATTTACGGTATCTTTTATAGAATCAAGGATGAATATATCACCACATATTCTCTGATCTATGTTGTTTGCTGTGAGTGTATGACGAATGTGTGACAATGGGTGTTGGCTGCAATGCTGTCTTCTAGGATCATTACTTGGTAGGTGCCATAAATCTACCACGGTGCGCTTCTCGCATCACTGTCTAAGTACCATGAGAGTAAATATTTATTATCAAACCTTCCGCCGCGAAAATCGAACACTAGAACAAGATATGCATGAGACTGTTAAACGCATTCACTAACTTCGAAAGCCCATAGCTGCATTTGATTTGTCAATCTATTCTTGTACAGGTCTCTACACACCATTTCACAGGGAAGTCACGATAGCGCAGTAACTAGACACTTGACTGTTGACTGGAGTCAGCATCTCAACTAATTGTTGTCATAACTAATCAATGCCCCGTTTACAATAGGTAACAAAACATGTCATGAGAAGCAAATGCTGTTGACGTGTGGCTGATCACATCGTCTTTGTGTTAATTATTGCATTAAAAAAAAAAAAAATGGAATCTAGTTTTACATGCCAGGAAGTGAAACAATGTAAAGATTCCTGACACTCTCTACTTATCATTTCATCGGTCTCGGCGTTTCGCTAGCGACTAGTGCAGACTGCCCGTGTGGGTTGCGGGCTCTATTGGGTAGATGGAGAACAGACCAGCTAGTCTCTTGCCTGAAGATCGTAAACGGCCATTAATGAAGGATTTGCCATAATCCGATGTATTGTACTAACAGGCGCAGACATCGTAGACAGTTTCAACTCTTGCAGTACCTGCCAACTCACCAAACGTTTCTTTGTCACTCCCAAGATTATGTGATGCTGTCTTTTAGCATAAAAATAAATGTGATATTAACCCACTGTATCTCAACTATTAGTTTGACTTCTTTTGTTCTGAATAAAAGACGCTGGCGTTGGATAGGATACATATTGTGAGAACAGGGGAACAATATAACTAGAATGTATTTGCACTAAAACCAACAGAGACATGAGGAAAATAGGAAGGTAAAAAAAAAAAAAGCACATGGAGAAGCCTGCTAGAAAGTGAAGTTAAAAAAGATGGGGAGGACATGGGAAGAGAACTGTATGCGATAGCGAAGGATAGAACCGTTTGGCGTGAGTTCTTTGAGGACCTATGCTCCACTAGGGACTTGAAAGGCAGAACAAGAGAAGACGTCTGTCTACAGTATCTCTGTGGAACTACTTGGGACCCGAGTCATTACTGCATTTAAGCTCAACTACTTGAAATAGAAGACATTTTAAGTAAAAACATGTAAACCGTCATTTTAAAAAGCGAACGCGGAATAAGTAAACCTGACTCAACAAAAAAACTGTATAGCCAATTTTGTCCTACATTATCGATCTTGGAACGACTAGGGAATAACAGTAATGATTCTTAGACATGGAAATCACCCTGACATCACCAGAAGGTCTCCGAAATCGTTGCCCACCACGCCTCAGCACGCAACAGCCTCATGGTCGGTTAGGTCATGTTAGAAACGAGAGTCAACAGTTTTCGAACTGCTCAGGAACAAGCACCTTATCTTTAGTTTGGGTGTTAGGGCATGTGGAAGCAAGATTATAAAAAGTTACAGATTCCTGTTCACACTAAAGTGTTGAAACTTTCATTTCCAAGCTCGAGATGTAATGGGATGTCAGTGTTGTCGGTGTTTGCCCCATTAAACTGCTTCCAACAATATTCTCCACGTTTTATGTTGAATCTAGAATTAAAAATCGATATCACAGCACTCAGGACACTCCCATAAGTGCTCCGTCCCCATCTTCAGCAGGAAGCGAAGAGTTCCTATTCCAATGACATCAGTAACCTTCTGATTGTATATCGCCTTTCCCTTGAGTGCTGAGCATCGGTCAGATCCACTGGCAGCTCCTCGCAGCACCATTCTCCTCAGAAGATTTCAAACTTTCACTGTATAGTAAACGCAAAAGTCACTCTTCCAGTCATTGGTGCACCAGGCATACAATACTGAACACTTATTTTCTAAGGCTGACTTTCGCATGATTGCTGTTTTCCTTCCTAAGGTGTTTTCTCGGTGCTTATGTAACCAACAGTATTTTGTCAAGTATGCACCTTACGACGTGAACATAAAAAATACGGACAAACCGCTATGTCTGGAGAACGAAAGGTATCAAAAGTCAAGAGACAAAGAAAATGGCGATGTACTGGGAACATCCTTAGGATGAGCGAACTGGGAATCACCATGCATGAGCTTAAATGTGAAACAACTGGATTTTGAGAGCTCCGAGGTCCAAACGGAAACATAAAGAGAATGACTAAAGATGCTGAAATTGATTCCATACATGATGGAGAACGGTATGCACATGACAGAACTGAATGCTGGAATAGAGTGCGAGCCTTATATGACATTTACTGGCATAACAGGGTGATAATGAACTGAAACGTGGTTGCTTTGCAGTGGAAGAATGAAGAGATGTTTGTGACGTGACGCGGTGGATAAAATGTTTATAATGTTGAGTAGGGATGTTCCTCTCAACACATTCCCTCCACCAGATAAACCGAACTAAAATCTGAGCTATGTTGCTCTCAGACAAAGTCCTGGATACCCAAGAAAACAGCCATATTGGCTCGTTAAGTACATTAACATTAGCTGAACTTGGTACCCACAAGAGAAGGAAAGGAATTTTAGATGTCTATCATTATACTAAATGAATTATTAGACAGGGCAAATGATTCCCCCGTCATCTACTTTCTCCCGGTGTTATTATTAATAATTAAAGAATTATTATCATATTAATTGAGCTCCCACCAAATGTAATTCTATCTATCAGTTTATTTAAACAGGTAAGATTGAATACACTTGGAATTTAACAAACGATGTAGTATAAAACTTGACATACAGCTTTATTTACTAACAATGATATTCCCAGTTTGTTGTGTTTACACAAACAGTGACTGGTTAATGATATAATAGTAATGGGTTGTTTCAGCGCGAGAACAGCACCTGGGATTAGAGTGGTGTGATTAAGGTGATAAAGTATGAACAATTTATGAACATAACTTGTAGTCTACTTCATGGACTAATCGTCACATGGGCGCTGTAATCATGGAAACAAAACACATACGTGTAGTATCTTGACTTACACTAAGAATACATGTATCAATTAATATAACATAGAATAATAAAATATATCCCATCACTCCTCCTCATATTCCACATCCTCTCCAGTCTAGTCTGAAGGTCTTTTGTATTACATGGGCGTCACATATCCTGCCTTCCTCTCTCATGCTATGTCATGATAGCTGACTTTCTAAGTCTGTTGTCCTTCATCACTCAGACTTCCAACTGGCTGACATTGATATTACATGACCACGTGGAGCAGGTTATGTGCTGAAAACTCCAACCATTTTATAAGTGCATGCTGTCCTGAATATTATCTTTCAGTGACAGTAAATACTGTACACCCATCATTCTTCCCCTGGGGTTATAAATCCCCTGTTCAGGTGAACACATTAAGTGAGCACATGGTGGGCACACAAAACGTAGCAGCATCCCTGCACATATGGGCATGATTTCCCACAGTCCAAACTCATATTTTGGTAGATGGAGGAAACAATATAATTACATTTCATTATAGCAAATGTCATGGTTCACATCTTATTTTATACACATGGAAACATACACTGAAAAACATGTGACACAAACATACAAGAAATAGGAATAGTTTAGCAGTTCCCTAACTGAGATACTGAATACTCACAAAGAACTATTTCAAGCAGAATGTGCAGACAAATTAGGAAAAGGTAGTATAGACTAAGCTTAACTCCCTAACCTATGTATACAAGATTAAAATTAATATTCACCTGGGAACTTTCCATCAATCGCCAAAACAGAATGCGACCGTAAAATACCTTTACGTCGACCTGTGTTTATTTGCCGGCAGGCTGCGATTATTGACGGGAATTCCACAGGCTCGAAGAATAAGTATCAATCTATTGTCCAAATTAATCTCCTCCCTTTCCTTGGTTCTACCCAACCCTCAAGACGATTACTTAAGCCACGCCTCTGAGGTAAATATCAGATCAAATTAGCTAACAAGTGGCCTGTCAGTCAATTCTGGACTGACATCCCTAGAGCAAACAGTCTTGAGTGACCCAATCTAGTTTACAACGAATCTAACTAGCCGGTGTGAAAACGGTCCGTGAAGCCATTGTGTTTACTACTTGACCCAGATCAAACATTCCTGATTGCCAAACACCTGTTCTGATAAGAATTACACTGACTTGCGAAACTCCGACCTCCCGGCTCCACAATGTCTAGCGTCCACTCAATTTCTACAGTCTGGTCAGGAGATAACATTCTGACACTGGCGTGAGAATCAAATCTAACATCCCTAGACTGAACCAGCGGGCTGTATTACGTAGGGTTATGTAATTTTAAACAAAGCGCAGTGGCTTAGTCTCGGAGAAGGACTGGTAACAATTAACTCCGTGCGGTTCGAAGTAACATTAATAACCAGAAGAACTTAATACAAGTACTAACTTCTGGAACCACTGAGATCGTTTCGTGACAATGGTACATTTGTTTTTCTTCTGCAGAAATCTGGACCACACGTATATGATATCAATAGCTCCTGGGACATTTATACACAACCACAAGCTGAGAGAGATGTGAATAGAGTTTATCACATAGATATATTTTTTTCTTCTCCTTTCCCTTCTTCTTCTTCTTCTTCTTCTTCTTCTTCTTCTTCTTCTTCTTCTTCTTCTTCTTCTTCTTCTTCTTCTTCTTCTTCTTCTTCTTCTTCTTCTTCTTCTTCTTCTTCTTCTTCTTCTTCTTCTTCTTCTTCTTCTTCTTCTTCTTCTTCTTCTTCTTCTTCTTCTTCTTCCTCTTCTTCTTCTTCTTCTTCTTCTTCTTCTTCTTCTTCTTCTTCTTCTTCTTCTTCTTTCTTCTTCTTCTTCTTCTTCTTCTTCTTCTTCTTCTTCTTCTTCTTCTTCTTCTTCTTCTTCTTCTTCTTCTTCTTCTTCTTCTTCTTCTTCTTCTTCTTCTTCTTCCCCTCCCCCCTCTTCTTCGTTTGTTCTTTTCTTTTTCTCATTACTTATTCCTCACTTTTCACGTTACCTGTTATTGCTATTTTTGTTCCGCACAATTTTTTCCTGTCCCTATTTTTCAAGTTTTTTCTTGATCGCTCCTTTCTTTTATTGTGTTGCTTTGATGTGTGTCGATAAAAATTTGCGCCTAGACGTTTGATTGTTTCTGTATGTGTTCACCCACTCCGCCCCTTTCCTGTTGGGCTTCTTAGCTACAGCTCAGTGGATTCAGTTACTGATGCTAGTAATTTCTTGATATTAGCCTGACTTCAGTCACCCTGTTGTCAACCCTAACATGGATATCACTTTGATGTCCAAAATCAGGTGTTATGTTATATCCTAAAATAGGTATCCTGACATGTCATAAAACTGGTATCAAGACATGTCTTGGAAAGAGCAGACGTGCAAAAAATCAAAGGGTTCCAGTTCGACCCTGTTTGGAATGGATCCCATGAAGTCAAGTCGGCAGCCGTTATGTAGACCACAAGATCCTTCGATGCTGAGTGGTCCAATACCACATGTCTAATGTTCCACTGGCATTAAAATGGTTCTTTACTTACTTAAAACCGTCTTAACTGTATAGGCTACAGTTATTATACTGACTGCTATTACGTCTTCTTCACGTTCAACGGCTGTTAACTCCAGAGCAATGTTCTGTTTGTTTATCCAGTTTTGGACATAGGCGTTGTTCCAGATCCTGAGTTTTGCATGCACATCTGTTTTACATATCAGTTTGTTACATATGCACTCCGGCTTGAAAGACAACACACATAATTAGTCGCCTATTTTGACATGTCTATTGGGAGTCAGTGGTATATTCTTCTGTCTTCCAAAATGGGGTCCCGAAACCCACAAGGTGGCTACATACTATATGACCCATCGAGTGTGGCATATTCTTTACAAATATAAGTCCAGCACCGTGTACTCGATGAAGCCCGAAGGTCTTGAGCTCAAAACCGCATCTTGAATCGCAGCCAGTGGGCCTTAATTAGACATTGACCTTGGCTCCCAGATCGACCCAGCCTAATGTAGGCACGAGATAATGTCGTGGGCACCGACCCCATCACCCATCTAGCACCGATTCTCTATAAGAACGTGAGTCGTATTGCTTATGTCCAATGCTCCGTTATTATAAACAAAGAATAAACAAAACAACAATTCAACTGTATAGCTTATCAGTGTTAACACCGACCGCGATGCCAGCCTTAAAAAACATACACCCAAACATAAAAAAATCAAACTTAATAAAAGTTTGTAAAAAATCCCTTTAATCAAAATATCATTGACACTAAGGGACAATGGCTTGATTCTGACCACATTCCCAGTGAGTGTGGGTTAGTCTGTAACAGTATGGGTACCATTGGTCCATTGCATCAGTGACATGAAACCGCTTCTTTACCTAACTCCTGTTACTGTATACGCACACTGTATTACTTTTACGCTCGTGGATGGTTTACCAGTTCTTGGCTTCGTCACCAGAAACTTGAACTTCAATCTACTGACGAAGTTCTCAACCGAAATCTTTTCGCCACATAGTATTATGCAAGAGATGTGAGTATGTGTGTGTCTTTGTTGTTTGCATATGTCTACAGTTATGTATGTTTGTTCATGGTCTCCAAATGTTTAGTATTGTAGCTGTGTGCTTATCATACTAAATGTTTACTATTGTATTTGTGTGTCTGTTTTGTTCAATTGTTTACATTTATATATGAGTGTTTGTTGTCTTTAAATGTTTACATTCTTGGCTCTGTTTGTTGTCTACAAATGCCTATAATTATTATTTGTGTTTCTGACACATAAATGTTTACCATTATATATATATATATATATATATATATATATATATATATATATATATATATATATATGTGTGTGTGTGTGTGTGTGTGTGTGTGTGTGTGTGTGTGTGTGTGTTTGGCACCTAAATGTTTAGTAATGAATCTGATTGCTTATTGTCTCCAGATGTTTACAGTTTTATCTGCTCTTTCGTTGTCTCTCTGTATGTTCACAATTATATTTTTTCGTTCGCTGTCTCTCTATATGTTTACAGTTATGTCTGTTTTCTGTCCCTCCAAATGTTTACAATTGTGTATGTATGTTCAAAGTCTCACAATGTTTACTATGATATCTATGTGTTTGTGACCCCTAAGTATCTATGTTCATACTAAACACGACTGATACCAGAGACCTGTCACATGTTAGATGTACTCAGTGGCGAAGCAGTTTAGCTGCCTGCCTTGTGCTCTGAAGGTTGTGGTTTGGATTTCGGATTTAATCTTTCGGTTAGTGAGTGCAGTTATTTGTCATATTTATGGGAGTCATAGCTGGAACTACAGAGTTTGTGCGTTATGTGCTGCTGTCATAGGCGACCAAATGGAATAAAGCTCAGTGCGAAGTTCCCCCCTCCCCCTTTTCACTTTCATCTCCCTCCCCATTTTTTTTAACTCTTTTATACACCGTTATGAGTTGTATATGGTGCATAAACCTGGAAATCAACTAGAAAATCCAATGACGGCATTTAGCTACTAGTCTTTCCTTTGAGCCTAGGCTGGCGGTTCGTTGCCACAAATGTTAGGTTTCGGATGGTCATTAGGCCCATGGGTGAGCCTTCCCTGATAACGATTCTACACAAGGTCTATCCCCGTTTTCTTTTCTCTTCCGATGTCATTATGGGGGTTTGATGGGGGAGTCCTTAAATGTGGATATACAGAATAATCCTCAGTTTTCTAGAATTAAAAAAAAAAAAGGTGTTGGGGATAATCTGAACTGAGGCACACACACAGACAGACACACACACAGACACACACACACACAGAGAGAGAGAGAGAGAGAGAAAGAGAGAGCGGGAGAGAGAGAGACGGAGCGAGAGAGAGAGACGGAGCGAGAGAGACGGTCAGGAAAACATTGCGGCCACATAGACAGACATTACTATGTCTTTGACTTCTTCACAATATCAACCTCTTGGGGCAATTGATAAAAAATATCACATGTATTCATTCATCTCAGTGAGTGACCGTATCTTCCCATTCGGTGCTACAAGTGTGTGTAAGTCTACCTGATTATTATCTTTCCACAATATGTTTGATCTGGCTCGTGGTCTACTTATGTTTCACTTTTTTTTCCGCATTTACTTTTTTTTTTAATGACATTGTATGTTTACCTTATATAGGTCCAACATATTTTACACAGGAACAAACAAATCTAAAACTAGCTACTAAAAAACTTCTCCATAACACCAGTGGTATATTCTGTTTGCAAATAGCACCGCATAAATACATTATTCATGATGCAGACAGACACGCACCCAGTGTCTTATCAACAACACGATCAGATGACAGCCTATGGTCCACGAGCAGATGCAATTAATGACTAGCATTTCCTGTTTTGCTGGTGGAAAAACTTCTGGCTATAAATATTGACGATCTGATACTCAGCTTATTCAAAAGTGCACTCATAGAGCTTTGTTATGTTATCACAGTCGACGACACTGTACATTAGGCATTGTCGTGCCTGCTCAGGCCCCTGACGGGGTAACTACTCTAAGGTACCTCTACTGAAAGTGCCCATGAGGAGCTGGTTATAGTATCTCATATCCTGGCCTCGACGGACGGCATAGACGTGCTTCACCATACTTAACTCTAGTGTCACGCAATCGTGTTAAGTGTTACAGATTCGTCACTATCCACTAACCAAGTCATTACAGCTTTGATGCTATCTGCTCTGTCTACGTTTCTCCCCACATGCATGGTGCCTTGCTTGCTTTATGGCTCGCTCTCTCATTACCTGTCAGGATGGCGTGCCCATGTGTATAGACCCTAGATGAGGGAGGCTTTTTCTAAGGCGGACTGGTCAGGGTGCCTCTCACACATTGGGGATCGGACGTTTGAAGGAGTGATGAAGTGAGAAATGATCACGCCCCAAAAAATCCGTAAAAGCAACGTTTATGAGAGAGGCAAAAGGTGCTGGCTAGACTAAATTCCATCCGTTTCACGAGAATTGCAGAAAACTGGACAGAATGGAGAAACAGACTTCAAGCCTTTTGTGATGCATAATGGCACATCATGATGATGACGATAACTCACGAAGTTTAGCCTGCCAGTCAATACTGTTGCCTGTGGCTCGGCCACAACTCTACTAACGCTGTATTGTTTAGGCCATACATGAGTTAGCTTAAGTGATGGGAACCAAACAGGATCCTAATCTATCATCTCCCTGAACATTTCTGACTCTCAGCATAAAGTACTAATCCCTTTTGTTTAGTCTACACCAAATTTTTAAAATATTTTTCAGAATCCACATTTGCTGACACCTTTCCGTCCTTCCAGAAGTCAGTGTTATATTGTCTATGGAGTAAATGCAGAACTGGAAAGGGGAGGGTAGGCGGAAAATGGGGGGCGGGGGTGCAACTGGAATCACAGCCCAAAACCAGCTCGCGTCAGCACATTGGTGGGTACCTTTCCTTCCGACCATACGATACTGTTATACTGCGCTGTGAGGAGGCGTGGGACTCACAGCTCATGGCAACCCGTAACTGCTGCCTCTCGATTTGTTTCCAAGACCATTTACGGCCAGAGATGACGTACAGAGCCTGAGCAGTATTGTAGAGCCCAAGTGTTCACATGTATTCTGATCCCTCATTCGACCTGCTTTGTTTATTTCAAAAGAAATGTAACACCAGTGCGTTTTGAACAAAGCAGGCGGCAAAAGTTCCCGGATCAGAAGGGCAGTGCTCTCTCTGTCCGCCTGTGTGAGCTTCCCTCCTAGGCCAGCTTCCAGCCAAGGCTAAGGGCCAGTTATGCCCTGCAATAACATAAAGTTTTCAGGTTGCATTTCCTCTTCCTAATATAAAGCTAGTATCCTTCCTAATGCCCTCCTCCGCCCGCAGCCGTTGGCACAGTATGGGATGTCAGGTTTGGTATACGCTGCTCAACATTCGACGATAACAAATGACAGGTAGTATCGGCTATTGTTATACAGTAGCTCAATCATATCTGACCAAGACTTGACCTGCGGCATAACAGTCCACGCTATCAGCTTTGGATTGCGGGACCAGTGTCGCCATAGCACGTGCTTATCGTTCTTTCCCAGACACTTAGCTCTTGCCCCAGAGCCATCTTAACAGCATTACGGACCCTTGGGCAAACACCTACACAAGTCCCTAGGACAAAACTCACAGGAATAAAATGTTAGTTGTCGATAATATTAAACACATACACAGTTTTACATGGGGCACCTATCCTCGTGGGGCCCCCGAGGGTAAGCGCGTAGCAAGTCCATGTGTTCAGACAGCATTGTATTTATGTTTCTGTAATCATTTTGTCTTGAACCTCTGTTCGATTCCATATTTTATCTGTCCATGCAGCAAGGCCTATGTCATACTGTTTCCACAAATCCACCTTAACGTTTGTATTATTCGTGTTCCTGCTGGCATACATCGTGTATCGTACTAGAGGTCGATTCGGCAGTTATGAACAATCAAAATTTATCTCACTTTTCAAACCATTTTAAAACTTTACTCTTTCTGCAGATACCTCAAAGGAAACAGACTGACAGCGATACAAGAAGGGGACTTCGCCAATATGACTGAACTTCTATATGTGTTTGTATTATTTTTTTAAATTACTTTATAGTATGTGTCTCTTTTTTTTTTTTGTAGGCGTAGAGAAAAGAAAATACTGTGTCTCTAACTGGCAACATAAATTTAAATTTTGAAGGAAAAACACTTAATGCTATAAAGAAATTAGTCTCAGATGAGAAACATTCACTCGACTCACATAATGCAATCGGGAAGAAGTATGGACAGAGCTGATATCATCAACACTGTTCGACTAGGTTGGGGGATAATGGCAAATCTCTGACGCTCACACGACTGCGTGACCGATGAGTTAAGCATGATGTAATAACGTCTAAACCGTCTTCGAGGCAAAGGCAGGAGGTACCTTAACCAATTCCTCATGAAAACAATCAGTAGAGGAGGTTCTTGGAGTGGCTACTGCATCAGAAGACTTAGCACACATAGCGATACCGAATTTGCATTGACGTCGATTGTGATAACATAACATAACTTAATAACTGTACAGTGTCCTAATATAACTGTGGTATTTAATTGAGCAGAATTTATTGGATCTGACATGTTTGTGTGCACCCAGGACAACCTCCTAGAATCTCCGGGTTGAATAAAACTTTCGGTAGCAACCCAGAGAGGAAACATACAGACATGTTGCAAATTAATAAAAATTTAGTTCAATTTGTGTATAAATCTACTCGATAACAATTGTTACCACCCACCGGCCACGCCAGCCTCATAAAAAACGGGAATTCCTGTTTGAGATGTACGGCTTTACACCTGGAGTCCGACATAGGGCAAGGGAAAGATAATGCACAAGATGAAAAGATGACATCAGGAACGGCCTCAAGGATGTGAAGACTAACTTATGCAACGCATGTGAAAGAGCACAAGAAAATCATGTAACGATTCGATGAAGTAACTAAAGAAAGAGAGTTATATATATATTATATATATATATATATATATATATATATATATATATATATATATATATATATATATATATATGTTTATGTGTGTGTGTGTGTGTGTGTGTGTGTGTGTGTGTGTGTGTGTGTGTTGTATTATGGTTTACGGCTAGGTTGAAATTTTCGTGTTTTTAGTAAAACACATCCAGGTTCAGTTCCACTTCCCAATTTTAGTTTTCAAGTTAGCGCTTTGAACGTCATGCTTCTAAAAGGTCTTGTGCAGAGGTTGGACTACGTCGCCACACTTCAAGTGCAAGTCTGAAGCCACCGACAATGTTACCAAGTCGAGTCTCGAGTCAACACATTTGCAAGTAGCATATGGTACTGTGCTTATGGAACAATCTAAAATGGCGAAAATGCATAGTCAGAAATGCATTGCGAAAGCTCACTATGTTTTTTTAAGTTAGTTGCGTATCCTTTACAGGACGTTGCAGAACCAATCCTAGCATTTTTTTGTGTGTGTGGCTTTTGTGGTTTTCCTAGAAAAGTATACGTCTAGTAATTTGCCCCTGCCTTCTGGACGGTCGGCCTCTCGATACCACTGTCGAAACCAACGAAAGGCGCAAGGCCCGCAGCTGGGATCGAACCCGGCATCCCAGCATTACAAAGCGCGTTCGTAACGCCTAAGCCAGAGACGCCGACGCTAAATATGCTTTCAAGCGAAAATAGTCGAATGTGACAGTTGGATCAATCGAAACGGAATTTATTTTTTCATTCTTTATATGAAGACGTTGAACAACCAAGCTCACAGTGCCAGGTTGCTGGACAAAACCCAAGTGGAGTCGCAAGTCGTTGACTACTCCAATTAAGTGGGACGAGTCCAAGTCGCGCGACCTGAGCCCTGACCTTTGGTCTTCGGTCTATCCTCCTCATAGCCCCAGTCTTACCATGGAACCCACAAGGGATTAAAAACAATGAAAATAATGTGCATCTGACTATGTTAAGTGCGACATGTCTAATGTCTGTTATTGTTTGTGATGCAGGGATCTATCCAGGAATAAGATCTCCAACATTAAAGAGAACGCGTTCAGTATGCTTCCTGTTTTGGAGACTTTGTGAGTAAATTTAGTCCGCTTTGTTTCGCCCATTATATCTTCACAAGTATTTCAGATTCTTTAACAAGACGCTGTTTACGTGTCAACTATCCTTGATGTTCAGATCTTTTAGAATGTGAATATGTCTTCTCTCCCCCCCCCCCCTTTTTTTTCCCTACTTTTTTCTTTTTTAAACAATGTTTCTTTAACTCAAACGATTTTATTTTTCTTCCTTAGTAATTGCAACTCAGTTCACGACTCACATTCGTACGTAGCTACACACAAAAATGCATGTTCTCACAATTTTGTCTTTGATGCGACTGATGATGCTTAACACAAATGAGCTTTTAAAACCAGGAATATTTCGAGAAGAAGATTTTGCTTTTGGCCTTAACTCTTTCAATACCAAACATATATTACTTTACTCATTATATTTTAAAAGTTATTACTGTAAGTTATCATTGTGTGGCTCTTGAGGAGTTAGAATAGTAGAGCTGTTTTCTTCTTCTACTTCTTCATCTTTTCTCTACTTCTGAAATGTGTCGCAGCGTCATTGAGTAATAGAGCTAAAGGACATGTATAGTTTAGGAAACTATTGGGGCCAGAGGGAGAGTTAGCAGCTCGATGGATCCTAATAAGGGGTTACGAAAAGTATATCATATCAGTATACACCAACAAATGCACGTTGGCTTGCTTGGTACTAAATATGTTCAACACTAAAATTACTCATACATTCATAGAACAAGAAGAATGATACACTGAGATTCTATTATGATGTTAAGGTTGGAGAAAGGATGCACATAAACAGCGTTATTTAAAACAGTCTAAAAATTGTATAATAAGGGCTGTTAGTGAGTGATATTCAATGCCACCATTCGGGTGAAAGTCACCGAGGTACCGACCCTAGCAACCCTATTAAACCAGTAGGTAATATTAGGCCCCCTCGTTTACACTGGGCTTTTGAGGCAGGAATGATTTTAATAAGGGTAGTGACAGTGCGATATTGCATGTATGTTAGAGGTAACTGAATGCGTTCTAACAATTTCAGGAACTTTTAAATTCTAGGGCTAGATTTTCAGTACTGTACTGTACACCGCTGGAATCCTTTGCAAACGACAAAGTAGAAGAAAAGAAATCGGTAGTCCAGATACTGGAAGTTGACGCTGGTCATCACCAAATGGGCCGGATAACTAAGGGACGCAATCAGTAAAATGTAAAACAAATAGCGAGAATTATTAGAGTAGTCAGGTAATCGAAACTAAATCTTTATTGCAAACGGGGCGCGCCATAGTTGTTTCATACATTTGTGTGCCAGCTTGAAACAACACACAATGTCCATCAGTCTTCTTTGTAGGGAAAATGATGCAGACTGTAGTCTCAGCGAAGCCAGTAGCATACACAAGCATACAATGCATAAGGTAGCAATCATAATAATTACGGCACTAGAAGTGCAGTTCATCGTCGATTGAAGCAGCGGTAATAAGAGATGAATAGTTGCACACGCAGTTAAACGTATAAGATGTCACCTGTTTCTGGCAACAGGTCACTTGCCATTTTCCGAATCTACAGTTCGCAACGCAAACTACGTTGGGAAAACTCGAAAAGTGTCGTGCAATATACTCAACTCAGTAGCTGAGCGACTGAACTAGATACTTTCATTCATGTGTGGGGAAAAATGCAACGACTAACTAGTCAGAAGCGAAGACCTGCCACAATTTAAAAAAAAAACAATAAACCTACCTATCCACTACACTGGCCGGAAGTCAAATTACACAATAATCAGGGAAAACCGTATGTGATCTCTAGTGAGTTTTTTACTATTTCGCCGTATTATTAAATAAGGACGCAGTGCCCTAGGGCAGTGGTTCGCAAATTCCCTAATGCCGCGACACTTAATACAGTTCCTCATGTTGTAGCGACCAACAAAAAATTTTTTTGTCGCTACTTGATAAAACAAAAAAGGACCCTATTCCACACCTTTAGGCGTACAGGGCATATAGGGCTAGACCTATAGCTACCTAATAACTTCGATGAATATTTGTTTTAGTCTTTGGCCATCCATGTGAAAGGGTAGTTTGATCCCCCAAAAAAGTGCCACGACCCATAGGTTGAGAACCGCTGCCCTAGGGGCTTAGGCACTTGTCGTCCTTCCCTCTGCAGAAAAGAAAATGAACCATCACTTGTTTATTAACAGAGGGCTATTAGTAACTGAATAACCTAGTCATTTGAATAATATTTAGTGTTCTTTTACTGACATGCCCTATCAGATAGTGACTTTTAAAAGTTCTAGAAGATTTTAAAAGCAATTTCCATACTCACAAATATGTTGTTTACAACAGTTTAGACAGATACTGCTTCAGTTCTAGTCCGTAGCGCAGTTTATGTATTTATTTAAAATTCCTAGGCTTATCCAGAAGAGTTGACAACAGCATACCACACATACCAGAAGCAGTTTAAATTCTTAGTAGAATATTACTTCAGAACCTTCGGCCTTTGAGACTCAGAAAAAGAGCAAACTAGTCGTATGGAGCCTCGCCGATGGGAACTTTCAGTCTTTAAGACGCAGAAGAAGATATACTACTCATATGGACTCTCGCAGACGAGAACCTTCAGTCTTTGAGAGAAGAAGAGAGACTAGACAAATGGACCCTCGCCCCCCTTACTTCACCCTAGGTCTAGTGAATATCTGTTCACGAAAGGAGCGTCCATTGCGGTGTCAGCCTCTTGACCTAGCAAGACCTCTCTTACCTCAAGACCATTGTGCTTGGCGAAGAGTCACAGCCTCCCCGAGGTAGTCCTGGTAACTGGCGGTGCGAATCTCCAGGCAAAACACAATGGATCTAGAGGAGCAAACCTCGATAATAAACCCGGTGCACCACACCGTACTGCCCCCTGTGGGAGGGAAGGATCCGGGGGTGTGCTGAACAGTCTTAGGAATGAAAACAAGTATTCTAACCCCCCTTATTACCGGAAACTATCGTAAAGGCACAGGCACTCAGGACGTGACGATCCAGTTGCCCCAACTACTCATGCTTAGGCCATGCTTAGAGCCATGAAGAGCTCAGCGAAACCAGCAGGCAATCTGGTGGGGGGGGGGGGGGAATGGGCACACTGTGAGCCCCAACTTAGCTACGTGTTAAAGGGGAAGGCAGAAACACAACCCATATTTCCTTTAGAATTGGTACAGGGCATTTATAGCTGCTGCCCGGGGAGGTAGGTAATCCACAGACACCCCAGCACCACAATGCCATGAATATGTCAAAATTGTAGAATACATACGAGATCGGTCGTCGCCTCGTCTATCAAGGACCGAGCCAGACAATGGGAAACCAGGCTGTCATGTGTGAAAAATTGGCTACTGCAAAATTTAAGATGAATAGGAAAATCAAACACCCCAGGAGGAAGCAGAGTGGGAGGGAGAGCAAATAGAACTCAGGCCGCATAGCAAAAAATACACAGATGCTCAATATTCTGCAGCTGAACATCTGTGGAATAAGAAATAAGAAACTTGAACTTGCCAGACTGCTAAACAACCATAGGGTACAGGTGGCTTGCCCTACAAGAAACCCTTCATAAAGACTCTGATCTGCATCTCACTGGATATACTAGTTATGCCTGTAAGTGTAATGACGGCCTGTGAATAGTGACCTATATCAGAAATGACATACAAGGAGATGTAACTATGCTATCGACATCTCACCCTAAAGATGTGCACTTTCTGGCACAATGGAAGCAAATATACAATATACAACGTGTACAGCCCACCTCAGACAACATGCAACATACCAGCACTATACAAGACACAGTACCATAAAACCCTTCTTGTTGGTAACTTCAACGGAAACTCGCCACGTTGTGAAACAACTAACCTATTAGTGCTGCAGAACTCAGTGTCTACACCTACACTGTTACACAGGGCCCACCTATCTCTCAGCCGACCTAAACTTACCATCTGCTCATCCGACTTAGCAGACGCAAGGTATCCCCAAGTCCTAGACGACATAGGAAGTGACCACAAACCTATACTCACAACTGTAAGCACCACCGCTAAATTACGCTTCAAGCAGAGAACCCGTTGGAATTTCCGAAAAGCAAACTAGAAACTATTTCAGGAAACATCTGACTGCTTCCTGGGAAGAATTGACAACAGCCGTGTGGAAACTTTTTGTGAAGATATAACAGAAGCAATCCTGAATGCAGCTTTAAAGGCCATCCCAAGGGGCAGCCGGAAGGCATATAAACCTTTCTGGAATAAAGAAATTCAAAATACTATATCTGAAAGGAATAAAGCAAGAATATTGCTCGAAACTGCACGTTTAACAGAAGCAAAGATCCAATACAATAAAGCATGTGCCAGAGTAAAGCTTGTAGTTGATAGGGCTAACAGAAATAATTGGACAGAAACTTGTTCCAACTTAGACCTTAGACAGAATGGAAATAAAGCATGGACTTTAGTCAAAAAACTCTCCAGAGAAAGTAGAAGGGTGAACCCAAAACCAATGACAGATGGGAGTAAGAGTATCATTGAAAACAGAGCAGGTTAACAGAGCTGGTAAGCTGTCAGAAATCGATAGAACACAGCTCTTTCAGTTGAAGAAACAAGAGAGAGCTCCAACTGCCAGCGACTCCCTTTTTGAAGATGAGTTTAGCATGGATGAATTAGAACAAACCCTGAAGAAATTAAAACCTAGAAAATCGCCAGGCCCAGATAAGATCCACTACGAAATGCTGCTACATCTTGGCCGGGCTGGGAGAGAAGTAGTTCTCAGGCTTATTAATAAAACTTGGAGGTCAAGCAAATTCCAAGCATGGAGGAATGCATATATCGTCCCCAATCTTAAAACCAAAAAGCCTCCAGACGACCCTAAACGCTACTGTCCAATATCCTTAACATCAAGCTTGGGCAAAGTTGCAGAAAGAAGGATAAACAGGCGCTTGTATTGGTTCCTAGAGAGTTCTAGTGTTCTATGCCATGAACAGGCAGGCTTCAGAACCAACAACTGTACAGAAGACCAGCTGTTCAGACTGACACAAAGAATACATTATGCTTCCAGAATAAGAAACACAAAATGGCCGTCTTTGTCGACCTCCAGCATGCCTATGACAGAGTATGGAGAAAAGGTCTCCTGATAAAGATAATGAGCATAGGAATACATGGCAGATTGTATAACTGGGTAAAATACTTTCTGATTAATCTGCGGAGCTATGCTGTCTACACCAACTGCTGCATTTGAAATCCATACAAATGTGGAACCCCTCAGGTTGCGGAGAGAAAAATCCACTTTAGAAATTTATGAAAGATACGTTAGAAAGAACCGTAACCATCCTAATAGAAAACTGGGAATACAAACAAAGAATAAAGCACAAATCGGTTTTACACTGTGTTAATAAAATTCAGGACAGATACCACCTCCCAGAAAGACGTCAAGGAATTCAGAATGTTGCAAGAAACCTACCACCACATGCTCGCTTTAAAGCTCCAGAAGTCCGAATTAAATTGGTAGGCAAGGAAAACAAACAAGCCGACCCAATCGCTCTTATGAACTCATCACTAAAGACCGTTGATTCTTACCCCCCAAGAATGGATACATGTTTATACTGATGGATCTACATTTAAAGCTACCATCAAAGCAGGTTACGGAATCTACATAGGTTATCCCGATGGATCTGTAGAAGAGATTTTTGATGCATGCGAAGAATTATGTTTAAATTATGAAGACGAAATAATTGCACTGGAATCAGCAGTATACCACCTAAAGACTGTAATGGATGTTTACCCTTCAAAGGCCCAAAATATTGTCATCTTTACAGATTCAATGTCTGCCCTTCAAGCACTGGAGGGCAGTGAATGCTGCAGAACTGACATAGCCAAGATAATCCTGGATGCTGATCAGCTTATTACCTCATACAACATCAGAATTGCGATGCAGTGGATTCCAGGCCACTCCAGCACACCAGGTAATGACAGAGCCGACAGATTGGCAAAGAAAGGTGCAATACAGGAACAACCACCTACAGCGACAACCCTACAGACAGCAAAAACACTTATAAGAGCTGTAAACAAAAAGACTTGGTTGAACAGATGGGCCATGGGAGACACTGGAAGAGAGGTTTATATACACATGGATGGCCCTGATCCTAATGACAGCATTAACCATCTAACAAGAAGGGACCAGGCCACCATCTTCAGACTTAGAACACAACATACTCCACTCAATGGACATCTAAACAGAATACAGCCACATCACTTCCCAAAGTGCCAGCTATGTAACTACCCCTACGAAACTGTTGAACACCATCTCTTTGAGTGCCCAAAACTCAGCGAGACTAGAAGAATGCTACTCCCTCCGAGACCAGACAAGTGGAACACCTTGTACAGAGGAAAAGAACAGCTTGTGAAAACATGCAAATTCCACTACATGGCATTGGGCCAAAGGGCGAAAGCTCATGCGCCACTGGATCGATAACAACAACAATGTACCCTCGCAGACGAGAACCTTCAATTTTTGAGAGAAGAAGAGAGACTAGTCATATTGACCCTCACAGACGAGAACCTTCAGTCTTTGAGAGAAGAAGAGAGACTAGTCATATGGACCCTCGCAGACGAGAACCTTCAGTCTTTGAGAGAAGAAAAGAGACTAGTCATATGCATCCTCGCAGACAAGAACCTTCAGTCTTTGAGAGAAGAATAGGGACTAGTCATATGGTCCCTAGCAGACGCGAAACTTCAGTCTTTGAGAGAAGAAGAGAGACTAGTCATATGGACCCTCGCAGTCGAGAACCTTCAGTCTTCGAGGCGTGCAAGAGGTGGGACTAGTAGCAACCTTCAGTCATGGAGCTGCCAGCTCAACACTGGAAGGAGAGGAATCAGTAGCACGGAGCCTCCAAAACCGAATTTAGAGAGTGAGAACAACAAAAGGAACATCGAACTACAGAAACAACAGACAAGATAGATACGCGGATCCATTGTAAACAGAGACACATTAGATAGAAACATATTAATATGCTAGAGTTACCGATTAACCAGTTAGTACAAACAGCAATAAAAGCTAAGTAGCAAGACACAAGAACGAGTTAACGAAGTAACTAGAGACGAAGAACACAACGCGACATCAAGAGTATATGACTATAGGAAGCATGTAGTTGCCGTTACACATATCATTGATGTTACTCGTTATGTTATTGATATATTACACACACACACACACACACACACACACACACATGTATTTGCGTGTGTGTGTCTGTATGTTTGTTTACGTGAGTGTGTGTGTCTTTGTGTGTGTGTGTCAGTGTGTGAGTCTGCGTGTGTGTGTGTGTGTGTGTTTAGGCGTGTCTACGTCTCCATGCACGCCTGTATATGTATATACACAAGAAAAGTTGTTTCAAAACATGTGTTATGCGGCGTCAAAGAAGCACATGGGAGATGCATGCTACAAGCAAATAAAGAGCATCACTATTACTATCGACACTATCATCTACTTTTGTCTGTATTCTTTTCATTGACTCTTTCCGCAGCAAACAAAAGGCGAACCTGGGTGTGACATCAACATACACAAAGAAGAGAGCTGTACTACAATTACTTTTGTGTTTATTATTCATTTATTCATTCATTCATTTATTCATTCATTATCCTCTTGTACTATTGTGTGTCACATAGTGCTCGCAGACTATTCCTCCATTCCGTTCTATCCTGGGCAATCAATTCAAAATCCAGACCAGCAGCTTTAACCTCTTTCATCACCGTTCGTTTTAGAGTTCCTTCTCTTAGGCGTCCTCACCTGCTTAATCTCTTGATTTGCCATTTTAATGCTTGGTTTGGGTTTTCTCAGTTGGCTTCTTCACATGATGTGTCCAATGTAGCGCCATCTTTTGTTACTATTACGCACTTAAAAAGCCTTTTCACCCCGAGGACTCTTACCCCATAAAATGCGTAAGGTCATAAGATAGATAGGGTGCGGAAACAGCAACAGAAAAAAAAAAAAAAAAAATAACATCACCCGCAAACTCTCGTGTAAAATGACTGTTGTAAATTTCCTAGAGATCTGAGAAACAACTTGATAACAGAGGTGCTGCCACATTACTTCAGGGATCTAACCAGCCTGAAGCGACTGTAAGTATAACTACAGTGTTCATGATCGTTTGTGTTTGTTGATCTATGTCGGACAACAACTCGACATCCTACATCATTTGAACATGGAAGAAACCTAGCTCAGTATGTGTCTACGTGTATCTGTGCGTCTGTGCGTGTGTGCGTGTCTATGTCTGTCTCTGTGTGTATTATGTGCGCGTGTTTCTAGTGTTTGTCTGCTGTGCGTCTGCATTTGTGTGTGTGTGTATCTGTATGTTTGTCTGCGTCTTGTTTCACTTTGTTATGAAAGTAATTCTATTTAATAGTTGGCTTGTATTTGTGTCCGTCTCTTTTTCTTAACCACCCCACCCCAGCCATCACACACAGACACACATAGAATTTTGTTTTCACTAAACTTGCCAGTCACATTTCGTGCTTACTTGATTCATATTTTATTAGACAGGAAAAAAATATACCCCACATATTTACAAACAGATGTGCCCTCCACAATTGTTGGAATAATAACTCAAAGCTAAGAATCACACCGGGCAAATGCCCAGAACCATGTTCAGCAGTATGACACAGTTCCGATAGGAGGCCCTACAGTTACAAAGTAGCTTACAGTTGTCATAGGACACCCTACTGTTACAAAGTGGCTTACAGTTAAGATAGGACGCCCTACAGTTACAAAGTAGCTTACAGTTATGACAGGACACCCTACTGTTACAAAGTGGCTTACAGTTAAGATAGGACGCCCTACAGTTACAAAGTAGCTTACAGTTATGACAGGACACCCTACAGTTACAAAGTAGCTTACAGTTATGATAGGACACCCTACAGTTACAAAGTAGCTTACAGTTATGACAGGACACCCTACAGTTACAAAGTAGCTTACAGTTATGATAGGACACCCTACAGTTACAAAGTAGCTTACAGTTATGACAGGACACCCTACAGTTACAAAGTAGCTTACAGTTATGACAGGACACCTACAGTTACAAAGTAGCTTACAGTTATGAACAGGACACCCTACAGTTACAAAGTAGCTTACAGTTATGACAAGACACCCTACAGTTACAAAGTAGCTTACAGTTATGACAGGACACCCTACAGTTACAAAGTAGCTTACAGTTATGACAGGACACCCTACAGTTACAAAGTAGCTTACAGTTATGATAGGACACCCTACAGTTACAAAGTAGCTTACAGTTATGATAGGACACCCTACAGTTACAAAGTAGCTTACAGTTATGATAGGACACCCTACAGTTACAAAGTAGCTTACAGTTATGAGAGGACACCCTACAGTTACAAAGTAGCTTACAGTTATGACAGGACACCCTACAGTTACAAAGTAGCTTACAGTTATGATAGGACACCCTACAGTTACAAAGTAGCTTACAGTTATGATAGGACACCCTACAGTTACAAAGTAGCTTACAGTTATGATAGGACACCCTACAGTTACAAAGTAGCTTGCAGTAGAATTTGGCTGGCTGTCGCCTTAGAAGCCTCTTGAATCAGAAGAGCCTCTGTGAACTAAACCTGGTCAAACTAAAGCCAACTTTACCATCCACAGATACCTCAGCGAGAACCGCATCGCCCATATACAGACGCACTCGTTTGTTACACTCATCAGCTTGGAAACTTTGTGAGTAGTCTTTGGCTCTTGCAATCTCAGATGAGGATAGCGGATATCCTTGTGAGGCTGTTGTTAGCATCACTATCGTCATAATTTTTATCTTCATCACTATACGTTGTGCCATTGTAGTCTCTCTACCTCTATTTTTCTCTGCCCTCTCTCTCCCTGTTTTCCCCATTCACCTCTCTCTATCTCTCTTTTCTCTCTCTCTCTCTCTCTCTCTCTCTCTCTCTCTCTCTCTCTCTCTCTCTCTCTCTCTCCCTGTCTCTCTTTCTGTCCTTTTTCTGTCTCAAAATTCTCAAAGCTATACTGTCGTCACAGTTCATTAAAGTTTAAATTAAAAAACAACAACATTGTAGCCCTTTCTTTCCAAATGCGTCAATTTCCCTGTTTACACAGAGACCTGGCGGCTAACGCGATTTCCAGGCTGGAGAGCGGAGTTTTTGATGGCTTGAAAAACCTCAGCGCCATGTGAGTTGGCTATCTTTGTGGTTGCCTGTTAGCTGTCTTTGTGGTTGCCAGTTAGCTGTCTTTGTGATTGTCAGTTAGCTGTCTTTGTGGTTGACTGTTAGCTGTCTTTGTGGTTGACTGTTAGCTGTCTTTGTGATTGTCAGTTAGCTGTCTTTGTGGTTGACTGTTAGCTGTCTTTGTGACTGTCTGTTAGCTGTCTTTGTGATTGTAAGGTTAGCTGTCTTTGTGATTGTCAGTTAGCTGTCTTTGTGATTGTCAGTTAGCTGTCTTTGTGATCGTCTGTTAGCTGTCCTTGTGATTGTCAGTTAGCTGTCTTTGTGATTGTCAGCTGTCTTTGTGGTTGTCAGTTAGCTGTCTTTGTGATCATCTGTTAGCTGTCTTTGTGATTGTCAGTTAGCTGTCTTTGTGATTGTCAGTTAGCTGTCTTTGTGATTGTCAGTTAGCTGTCTTTGTGATCGTCTGTTAGCTGTCTTTGTGATTGTCAGTTAGCTGTCCTTGTGATCGTCTGTTAGCTGTCTTTGTGATTGTCAGTTAGCTGTCTTTGTGATCGTCTGTTAGCTGTCTTTGTGATTGCCAGTTAGCTGTCTTTGTGATTGTCTGTTAGCTGTCTTTGTGATTGTCAGTTAGCTGTCTTTGTGATTGTCAGTTAGCTGTCTTTGTGGTTGCCAGTTAGCTGTCTTTGTGGTTGTCTGTTAGCTGTCTTTGTGGTTGACTGTTAGCTGTCTTTGTGGTTGTCAGTTAGCTGTCTTTGTGGTTGTCAGTTAGCTGTCTTTGTGATTGTCAGTTAGCTGTCTTGTGTGATTGTCAGTTAGCTGTCTTTGTGTGGTTAGCTGTCTGTTGTGCTGTCAGTTAGCTGTCTTTGATTGTCTGTTAGCTGTCTTTGGTTGTTCGTCCTGTTAGCTGTCTTTGTGATTGTCAGTTAGCTGTCTTTGTGATTGTCAGTTAGCTGTCTTTGTGATTGTCAGTTAGCTGTCTTTGTGATTGTCAGTTAGCTGTCTTTGTGATTGTCAGTTAGCTGTCTTTGTGATTGTCAGTTAGCTGTCTTTGTGGTTGACTGTTCGCTGTCTTTGTGGTCGTCTGTTAGCTGTCTTTGTGGTCGTCTGTTAGCTGTCTTTGTGGTTGTCTGTTAGCTGTCTTTGTGGTTGTCTGTTAACTGTCTTTGTGGTTGTCTGTTAGCTGTCTTTGTGGTTGTCTGTTAGCTGTCTTTGTGGTTGTCTGTTAGCTGTCTTTGTGACTGTCAGTTAGCTGTCTTTGTGATTGTCAGTTAGCTGTCTTTTGTGGTTGACTGTTAGCTGTCTTTGTGATCGTCTGTTAGCTGTCTTTGTGATTGTCAGTTAGCTGTCTTTGTAATTGTAAGTTAGCTGTCTTTGTGGTTGACTGTTAGCTGTCTTTGTTGTTGTCTGTTAGCTGTCTTTGTGGTTGCCTGTTAGCTGTCTTTGTGGTTGTCAGTTAGCTGTCTTTTGTGGTTGACTGTTAGCTGTCTTTGTGATCGTCTGTTAGCTGTCTTTGTGATTGTCAGTTAGCTGTCTTTGTGATCGTCTGTTAGCTGTCTTTGTGATTGTCAGTTAGCTGTCTTTGTGGTTGTCTGTTAGCTGTCTTTGTGGTTGTCTGTTAGCTGTCTTTGTGATCGTCTGTTAGCTGTCTTTGTGATTGTCAGTTAGCTGTCTTTGTGATTGTCAGTTAGCTGTCTTTTGTGGTTGACTGTTAGCTGTCTTTGTTGTTGTCTGTTAGCTGTCTTTGTGATTGTCAGTTAGCTGTCTTTGTGGTTGCCAGTTAGCTGTCTTTGTGGTTGCTAGTTAGCTGTCTTTGTTGTTGTCTGTTAGCTGTCTTTGTGGTTGCCTGTTAGCTGTCTTTGTGGTTGTCAGTTAGCTGTCTTTGTGGTTGACTGTTAGCTGTCTTTGTGATTGTCTGTTAGCTGTCTTTGTGATTGTCAGTTAGCTGTCTTTGTGATTGTCAGTTAGCTGTCTTTGTGATTGTCAGTTAGCTGTCTTTGTGATTGTCAGTTAGCTGTCTTTGTGATTGTCTGTTAGCTGTCTTTGTGATTGTCAGTTAGCTGTCTTTGTGATTGTCAGTTAGCTGTCTTTGTGATTGTCAGTTAGCTGTCTTTGTGGTTGACTGTTAGCTGTCTTTGTTGTTGTCTGTTAGCTGTCTTTGTGCTTGCCTGTTAGCTGTCTTTGTGGTTGCCAGTTAGCTGTCTTTGTGGTTGCTAGTTAGCTGTCTTTGTGTTTGTCAGTTAGCTGTCTTTGCGGTTGTCTGTTAGCTGTCTCTGTGGTTAACTGTTAGCTGTCTTTGTGGTTGCCAGTTAGCTGTCTTTGTGGTTGCCATTTAGCTGTCCTTGTGGTTGCCAGTTAGCTGTCTTTGTGGTTTACTGTTAGCTGTCTTTGTGGTTGTCGGTTAGCTGTTTTTCTGGTTGTCAATTAGCTGTCTTTGTGGTGGTCAGTTAGCTGTCTTTGTGGTTGCCAGTTAGCTGTCTTTGTGGTTGCCAGTTAGTTGTCTTATGGTTGCCTGTTAACTATCTTTGTGGTTGCCTGTTAACTGTCTTTGTGGTTGCCTGTTAGCTGTCTTGTGCTGCTTGCTTGATTGGTTGGTTGGTCGGTGCTTGACGAATTAATTGCTAGTTGATAGACTAGTCTATTTCTTTTCGGGTTCAGACTAAATAATAAAAGCTTACGAAGAAAATCAAGAGTAAAAATTTAATACAAGAGATGACAAAATCACAATGTTCAATGTTTGGCTTAGGTATTAACAGTTATTAAAAAATGAAGATGACAATATAAAAAGGCACATCATGAGAAGAGGCGGTCAGAGAATCACTGAACATGTCCTGAAATAGGAACGCAATGGACCGAGGAGACGAAAACATCAAACAGAATATCTAAGATAAACGGTAATGTGGACACCTCCATTGACCGGGATGTATTGATTACATGTTTCTTATCAATATATTATTAAATCTCTCTAGGTAACGGGGACATTAATATGAAAAACGCAAGACAAATATTACTAATGGAGGACAAAATATAGTAGTAGAAGTAGTAGGTTTTACCCCACTAGGACATCACGTAAGCGATAAACACCCGATGACACTAAGTGTCACCATATAGATGGGGATGACCCGCGGAGAGGTAAAAAAAAAACCGCGTTCAGCCATTAGATTATATTTATGGCGGGCTAAATTGCGGCTCCTGGCAAGAGGCAGGATGGGGCTTCAAAATAACGAAAAATTGCATCCCACGAGAAAAAGACTAGTAAATTGGGGCAAAAAATTGCAGAGAATCAGGCTGAACATTTGTCTGAAATAGGAACGCAATGGACAACGAGGTGGGAGGACTTTCTGTCAGAATTTACAAACAGTCAAGATCGAATGGTGACTTTGGGAAAGACTCCAACAATAGCAGTTCCATAGAAAACCCTTTTAGCTATGTTACTAGGCCACGCTTAGGAGCAAGATAATTAGGGGATATGACTAAAGGTCCATATACACATATCTCATTAAGATGAAAAACACAAGTAATCTGAAATTTTATGTTTGGGGCAGACAGGGAAAGATATCGTAGTAAAGTTAACTGTAAAGGTTTTACAATAAACACTACACTTTTAACGGCTAGTGCAGATAAGCACAGAAAAAAAAAGTAGAAACAGAATAAGGAGAAGACGAAGATAGAAGATGAATTAGAAGACCCGCGGAGAAGAAGAAGAAGAAGAAAAGAAAAAAACCGCGAAGAAGCCAGAAGAAAGAAGAAGAAGAAGAAGAAGAATGGCGAAGAAAGAAGAAATTGAAGAAGAGGAAGAAAAAGAGAAGAAGAAGAAGATGAAGAAGAAAGAAGAAGAAGAAGAAGAAGAAGAAGAACGAAAAAAAGAAGAAGAAGAGAAGAAGAAGAAGAAGAGAAGAAGAAGAAGAAGAAGAAGGGAAAAACATGAACCTGGAAGAAAAGATGAAATAGAAGAAAGAAGAAGAGAAGAAGAAGAAGAAGGAGAAGAAGAAGACGACGAAGAAGAAGAAATAGTAGTAGTTAGAGAATAGGAACACGAATAAGAAAGAAGAAATGGAAAGATTCCATCCATGGTATCGATATGATTGCATCGGACACAACGGAAAGGAAAACCAGACTGCAAGCTGTATGTAAATTATTAAGTGAAGGATGGTGATACGATGGATATGGTGTAGAAGATAATCATGGTGATTAAATAAAACAACTCGTTTAACAGAAAAACAAATATTGTCGCACTCAGTTTAGAGTTTCACATGTTTGTAGATAAAAAGTGAAGAAAGAAAAGAACCCCTTTGCCACCAGCACAAGAAACTGAGGTCATATATTCATAGACCAGTCAGAGGTTTCAACATCATCCTGACCACCTTCACTTGTAGGACATTTCCTGGTTCCCCCTGTTAGACTGATTGACACTGGGAACCAAAGTCACTTTTTGCACATTTGCCCAATGAGGGTTTTACTCAAAACCTTTAGCCCCCGTGTGGGTTCCGGTTTCCTGTTTGGGGGGAGGGGGAACAAGAATAGATCCAATGCCTCCCCAACAAGCATGTCGTAAGAGTCGACTAACTGAGGGCATCTGTCTGAGAGGCAGGGAACCAATAGTCTGTATACAAATAAGCAAGATCTGTGAAACGGATGCACATGCAAAACTCAGGTCCTGGACAAAGCGGAAGTCCAGAAATGGACGAAAAACCAGGTCTTTCCGTCGGAGTGTGCAGTCGGTGAAGACAGACAGACACAATCTGTAGGCCAGTAGGTTGCGTATAGCTACCACGCCATTACTTTCCACAATGGTAAATGACACCGCTGATCGACTGTGTCCTTTCCGCTACTTTTAGATGACACCGTTCTTCGACTGTACTTAACACTTTTCGTATCATGTGTACTTGAATTTATTATACTCTGAGAAATGCCTACCAAACTTAACAATTAAAGGAAATTCAAAATAATAATTATAATGATAATAATAATAATAATAATAATAATAATAATAATAATAATAATAATAATAATAATAATAATAATAATAATAATAATAATAATAATAATAATAATAATAATAGCGTTGAACAAAAGTGGTTAAAATAACTGGGACAGCAAACATTAATCTTAGAACTGGAGGGAGTCATGTGGAGTTTACAAAAGTATCATATCAGGTATAACCAACATACTCGCCACGTTGTTTAGTACTCAATGAATGACTGTATCTTGTTTTTGCTTTCTTCTTCCACAGAATCATGGCTCATAACATTATATCAACAATACAGAGCAATGCCTTTAAAGATCTGGCCAAAGTAAAGTCTATGTAAGCAAACAAGTGTTGTATGAATTCAGTATCCTTTAGGGCGCATCTCCATCATAAAGTTTGTCTGCATTGAAAATCTAACACTATTTTTGATTTTTCTTTGGAATTACAGGCTGTCAAAGTGACAGTCAGTAACTCGAATGGTGACTTTTGTAAAGACAATCCAACAATAGCAGTTCATAGAAACCCTTTTAGCTAGTGGGTTACTAGGCCACGCTTAGGAGCGAGATAATTAGGGGATATGACTAAATGTCCATATACACATATCTCATTAAAGATTTAAAACACAAGTAATCTGAAATTTTATGTTTTGGGCAGACAGGGAAAGATATCGCAGTTAACTGTAAACCACAATTTACAATAAACACTACACTTTTAACGGCTAGTGCAGAAAAAGCAGCAGAAAAAAAAAGTACAAACAGAATAAGGAGAAGACGAAGAAGAAGAATTAGAAGAAGAAGAAGAAGAAGAAGAAGAAGAAGAAGAAGAAGAAGAAGAAGAAGAAGAAGAAGAAGAAGAAGAAGAAGAAGAAGAAGAAGAAGAAGAAGAAGAAGAAGAAGAAGAAGAAGAAGAAGAAGAAGAAAGAAGAAGAAGAAGAAGAAGAAGAAGAAGAAGAAGAAGAAGAAAGAAGAAGAAGAAGAAGAAGAAGAAGAAGAAGAAGAAGAAGAAGAAGAAGAAGAAGAAGAAGAAGAAGAAGAAGAAGAAGAAGAGAAGAAGAAGAAGAAGAAGAAGAAGAAGAAGAAGAAGAAGAAGAAGAAGAAGAAGAAGAAGAAGAAGAAGAAGAAGAAGAAGAAGAAGAAGAAGAAGAAGAAGAAGGAGAAGAAGAAGACGACGAAGAAGAAGAAATAGTTAGTAGTTAGAGAATAGGAAAAAAACGAAGGAAAGAGAGCGATACAAGTGAGAATACATCAAAAGATGAAAGAAAAGCAGTCTCATACAGTGGGCAGCTAAGGAAAAAGTCAGGATATTTTTGGTAATCAGTTGCAAGCATCCTTAATTGTTCAGACCGCACGTGACTGTTGTGTTGTCGTTCCATAGAAAATGTATGTGGCCAAGTGCACGACCGTTCTTATTACGTGTGGATGTATAAAGGTCACATTAAGCCGGCCATTGCCTATTCTGTTGCTCTCACATAAGATCATTTATTATTACACGTATTTAACCAAAGAAAAGATCAAAAGAAATTGTTATGGCCTTTGTGCTAGCAGTGTCAATATGAAGACTTAGCGTCATTCATAAGTGCACAACCATAAGAACAGTGATGAGAGGTAGAAGAAGCACTGATGAGGTGACAAGAAGATGTTCAAAAAATGGTGCACATATTTGAAGGAAAGGGGCAATAGAAGACTAGCACTGAAACCAGTTGTGTAGCTTATTAAAGAACAATAGATGATTCTGTTTCACCACGTGACGAGAATCCCCTAGTGGCTACTGCCCATGAGAGCCATGCTGATCAAACTAAATCAACGGAGAGCAAAGGAAACACAACGCAATGTAATGTCGTCATCAAGAATAGACATATACACATAACGTGTTACACATACACCGCAATCTAAAGAGCTCACGCCTTTGGTACACCTAATCTATTTTCCCCCCCCCCCCCTTTCAACCGCCCTTTTTTCCCACTCGTACACACTTCGATCAGGTAGCTGGCAGAGAGAAAGAAGCCAGTTAAGTATTATACATATGAATTCGTATTTTGTTTATAAAACTTTCTTTTTTTTTCACACAGGGACCTACGCTGCAACTATCTGAGACGTCTGGACAACGACACATTCAGAGTCCTACACAACCTACACTACATGTATGTTCTTAGATTTCATTCATTCAGGTTACAATGAATATACACCGTTCAGTTTAAATTGAGCTTTCCTGAAACTGACACCATATTATGTAACAGGAAGTAAAGACGGTCGGTATGAGGTTGAATACATCGTTTACTGAAATCCCATTCGTCTTTGAAAATACAGTACTAGCATCATACACCCGATGCATAGGGGAACCTTATTATCCCGAGCTGAAAACGGGACATACCTCTAATATTTTGAGCTAAAAACGGGATATCCCAATCTAGTCAGTTTAACCGCACCATTTTTTACCTAGCTTCCCGGTGGCGAAAGGATTATTTACTCAGTCGCCATTGTAGTATCATCGGGGCGGACAGGGAACACCTAAAAAGCGGAATGTCCCAGTTTAAACCGGCCCTACGATCACCCTACCGATGCTCCAATGATTTGGACCCAAAAAAAATTTCAGTTTTTTTAATCTCACACTGTAACCAGGTCGGCTCTGTGGCTAAGTCGATGAGAATGCTTCGTAATGCAGGGATGCCGGGTTCGACCCCAGCTGCAAACCATGTGCCTTGCGTTGGTTTCGACAGTGGTATCGTCCAAAAAGCAATGGCAAACAACTGGACGTAAATTTGCCTGGAAAAACCACACAACAGCCAGGGGCTGTTGGGGTTGGTTCTGCAACGTTCTGCAAAGGATACGCAACTAACCTTAACTGTAACCATAGAACCTGGAGCAAAGGAAAGGGAAGAAACTCACACAAATACAACTGGACGTTTGGACCAGACTTTATGAACAAACGAAACAAAATACTATGGAAACCTTCGATTGTGTATGGGAGTGTTTTTGCTGCTGGCTGACAGATTGACTGCTGTGAATTACTATAATTCCTTCTTCTTCTTTTCTTTTCTTTTTTTTTTAAAAATAATTCCACCCTTATCACGCCATTGAAGTATAGACCTGGCTCGACGTGGCAGTGAACTCAAGCACATTCCTGCGTTTATAGTTACTATTTAGTTATCGATTATGCTTTTTTATAATAAATATTATGCTTTACTTTGTTTGGCTGAAACAATGTAAATCATCATCGCCAGTTCTTGTTATGCCTAGTGGCACATGAGGCTTCAGAGAGGACTTTCCATGCTTTCCTGTCCTGTGCAATCTTCAGTGCAGTTTTCCATGTCAAAGATGCCGCACTCAGGTCACTTTCCATCGTTCGTCTCCATGTTGTTTTTGGGCGCCCCTGTTTTCTCTTTCCCCTCTGGTGTCCATGTGAGAGCTGTTTTGGCAGGTGTATCAGAAGTCATTCTCATAACGTGGCCAAGCCATTTCCATCTTCTCTTGGTAATCATACTGTCTAAAGTTTCTTGGTTTGTGGTTTGAAGTAGTTTAGTGTTTGAGATTGTATTTGGCCAGAAAATTTCGATAATTCTACGTAGACATGTGTGGTGGAAGGTGGACAACTTGTGTGCATCTTTTTTGGTCATTCTCCAGCATTCCGCTCCATAAAAGAAGAACTGGCAAAATGATGCTCTTGTAGAGTCGGAGTTTCGTTGCTCTGCAGTAATTGTTGGATTTCCAGATTTGCCTCATCCTTCCAAAAGCATCTCTAGCTTTGTTCAGACGTGACTGTATGTCCTCTTCGGTCCCTCCCTTCAGGGACACCACACTGCCAAGATATGGGAAATGTTCTACATTTTCAAGTGATTGGTTACTTATGATCACTGGTTGTTGGTTTGGACTGTTTGTCATGATCTTAGTTTTCTTTGTATTTATTCTCAGTCCCACCATTTCTGATGTGCAGTTTAGTCTGTTACTTTTCTCTTTCTCCCGTCTTTACTGGGAAAGATGTATTGTAATTTTTTATACTGCAGGAAAAGTCTTTTTAGAAGCGAGCAATTATGTTGACAATTTTTTCTGGAATCCCATAATGTCGTAAAATTTTCCATAGACCGTCTCAATGGACGCTGTCAAAAGCTTTCTCAAAGTCCACAAAATTAATATATATACTTCTCTGCCATTCGTTGCATTGTTCTAAAATGTTACGTATGGCGAAGATGTGCTCAGTTGTTCCTCTGCCCTTTCTGAATCCTGATTGTTCCACTCGTAAGCATTTATCTACTCCTTTTTTAGGCCGCATTTTGATGATTTTACAAAATATTTTGCTTGGTACTGAGAGTAGAGTAATTCCCCTCCAATTATTGCAGTCTGTTGAGTCTCCATTTTTGGGGGATTTTGACTATTGTTCCTTCAGTCCAGTCATCAGGCAACACTTCTTTTTCCCAAATATCCTTGAACAATGATTCTAGAATGCTAGTGGTTGTGTTGGCATCTACTTTGAGAAGTTCTGCTGGCAGTTCGTCTTTGCCTGGTGCTTTGTTGTTCTTTAAAGTGTGGATAGCTTTAAGGATTTCTTGTTTGCTTGGTCGTTCAGTAATAATGTCAATGTCCTGAGAGGCTGGTTGAATATCTGGGGGATTTTCAGGATCAGGTCTGTTCAAGAGGTCGGAGAGGTGTTTAGTCCACTGCATGTCTTGTTTTTGTTCTGTGGTGAGCAGTCTGCCTTGGTTATCTCTGATGGGTATGCTGTGATAATTGTTTCTGTTTCCGCAAATTTGCTGGGTAATTTTGTGTAGGGTTTGTAGATCATGTGCTTTAGCAGCATTTTCTACTGTTTCTGCAAGATTTTCCATAAATCTTCTCTTGTCAGCTCTGGCATTTTTCTTGGTAATTTTATTTAGTTCGCTATATTCTAACATTAGTTTGTCTTTCTGACGTTCTGATTTAGTGCGATTTATGAGGCTCTTTATTCTTTTTCGCTTGGCAATTTAGTTAATGGTTTGACTACTTATCCATTCTTTGTGGTGTTGTTTCCTGGTTCCTAATATGTTATTGCTAGTTGATTTGTATGTTTCTTTGATCTGGTTCCATATGTCTTGAATGCTGATTGTATTTGGAGCTTTCTGGGTCACTTGATAGGGTTTGAAATCTATTCCTAAGTTCTACTATAAACAATGTTAACATAAATGAAAAATGAGCTACAAAGAGTACATACGTTGATTGTTTCTTTTTCCTTTTTGATTGGCACCTTTCCGTCTTTCCAGACGATGGTGTTATGTTGCGGTATGAGGAGGCATAGGACACACAGCCCATGACGATGGCGAGTGTAACTAGCAAGACCCGCCCGTTCACGAAAAGTCTTCTACAATGATAGCATGGGATTTCAAGACCATTGTTGTCAACATTTATGTTTAATCCGTTTCTTTTAAGACGCTCAGCTCTCGTCATTTCAGCAATCTTTTCTTCCTTTACTCTCATTCTCTTTTTTAATATGCCCTTTCCACACAACACTGTTCATGCATTGTGTTCCCATAAGTCCACCTTAATACGTTTATCAATCATGTCCAACTTGCACAAAATCTGTATGCCGTAGAAGAGGTCGGCCTCGACATCTTCTACCCGTCTTTATTTCACCATAGAGGATGTCCTTAGGGACTCCGCCATCCTCCTTTTTTCAGGTGTGACCCAGCCACATGAGCCTTCGTAAACTGAGCATAGAAAAGACTGTTGTAGTACCTGCTCTTTCCAATACCTCAGTGTTTGTGATTTTGTCCTGCCAGTTAATGCCAAGTATTCTTCTTGGACATCGCATGTAAAAGCTATTAAGCCGTCTCTCCTGGTGCAAATAGGTTGACCAAGTTTCACTGCCGTAAAGCAGAGTGCTGTAACACAAGCTCAATAGACGAAGAAGAAGAAGAAGGCAACGAGAAAGAAGAAAAGTAGGAAGAAGAAGAAGAAGAAGAAGAAGAAGAAGAAGAAGAAGAAGAAGAAGAAGAAGAAGAAGAAGAAGAAGAAGAAGAAGAAGAAGAAGAAGAAGAAGAAGTAGAAGAAGAAAAAGAAGAAGAAGAAGAAGAAGAAGAAGAGAAGGAGATGGAGGAAGCATGTGTGAACGAGAGGGGATATGACGTAAAGATAACAAATAGACATAGAAATAGTAAGTTAATAAATGTAAAATAATAGAATTGAGAATTATTAACTTAAAAGAAAAAATAAAAAAGAAAAAGCTTACGTTGTATTGCATTCTGTTCTGGTCAGATATTTTGACAAGTTCTACATGTGTCTCTACGCCAGCCAAGCTCGAGTCTGCGAACCTCAGGGCGACGGAATCAGCAGCAAGCAAAACCTCCTAGGCAACATTGTCCTCAGAGTTTGTGTCTGGGTGGTAGCGCTGCTAGCCTGTGGAGGCAACCTCATGGTCATCCTCGGCCGTTTCCTGATGAAAGAAGACAACCAAACCCATTCGTTCTACATCAAAAATCTCAGCCTTGCTGATCTTCTTATGGGATTTTATCTTTTCTTCATCGCCGCAAACGACATGAAGTTCCGAGGCGACTACATTATGTATGATGAAACATGGAGAAACTCCTGGGAATGCGATCTTTCTGGATTCCTCTCCACGCTCAGTACTGAAATGTCCGTTTTGACCCTGTGTGTAATAACTCTTGATCGATACATAAGTATAATGTATCCCTTGTCTTTTCGAAAGCAAGGATTGAAATGTGCCTACCTAGTGATGATTGTTACCTGGTTGTTGTGTATCTTACTAGCAGCTTTACCAATTATGGGAATCAGCTATTTCGGCTCAGCCTTCTACAGCGATAACGCAGTTTGTGTCCCTCTTCATTTGCACGAACCCAGAGCTAAGGGATGGGAGTATTCATCGTTCATATTTCTAGGGATCAACTTGGGGTCGTTCGCGTTTATAGCATATGCCTATACGGCAATGTTTTATGCTATTCACGTCAGTGCTCTGACGTTAAGGACTTCTCGGGAGTGTCAGGAGAGGAGTTTAGTTAAACGGTTCTTCTTCATCGTTGTGACAGATTTCATGTGCTGGGTGCCAATCATCATCATTAAGATCATGGCTTTGGGAGGTGAGTTTTTCATCATCATCATCATCATCATCGTCATTATCATCATTATCATCATCATCACCATCATTATTATCATCATCGACATCTTCCTCATCAACGTCGTCACCACCATCACCATCAGTTTCAAGCTCCTAAAGAAGTTAGATCATCATCATAATCATCACCATCATCAGTGTCCTCCTCGCCATCTTCCTCGTTATCATCAACAATACACACGGTATGGCCAAAGCCGGTGAATATATTTTTTATTTTGGTAAGCATCTAGTGTAGAGCAGAGTTTGCGAATCGTTACACTCAGATTTAACCGCTTTAATTTATAAATAGTCTGCATTAGAATTAAATTGTTGTTTTTCTTTTGGTGTATTTATTGCTATATAACAGACAAACATATCGACTCACAGACAAACATATAAATAAATAGACATACTTATAGAATAGATAGGTAGACAGACAATTGATCAATGGCATTAGGCATACTAAACGTAAGGTTCTAGCCCAACATTTGTGTATCACCGAGTGGGATCATGTGTCAAATCTCGTTAACCCAATGCATTCTCTATTATCCAGTTGAGAATTTTTTTTTAAAGCTGGTTCATGTATCCTACGGGAGCCGTTGTGGTGTAGCGGCTAGACGCTCACTTACAGATCCGAAGGTCTTGGGTTTAAATCCGAAGGGAGCTCGAACTGTGTTCAAATAGGACTTTGGCTCCCAGGTGAAACAACCCTAAATGGATACCAGGCAAAGTCCTGGGAAAAAAAAAAACGGCCGGCGTGATGTTGACCACATAACAAACAAATTGTCTTGTACATCTGAAGTGACCTCCTTCCGAACAGCGTAAAGGGAATAGCAAATTTAATATTGTCTGCCCAAAAACACAGTTAAGATCAAAATCTGTTCTTGAATTAAAAGAAAACTAAAATAGTGTACACAGATAAAACTGGCTGTCCCCCCAAAAAAAACAATAAGTGATGAAGAAATTGAAAATGTCACAAACTTTGAATACCTAGGCTCTGTAATAAACAACAATGGAGACTGTTTGACAGAAATTAAAAGGAGGATGGTCATAGAAATGCAAAGACTGAACAGTCTTAAAAGTCTATGGAGCAAGGAGATAAAAATTAGAATTTTGAGAGCAGACATCTTCCCTGTGGCTACATACGGATGTGAGTCGTGGACTATCTCTCAGTCCTTAAGAAAGAGAATAGGCGCTTTTGAGCTGAAATGCTATAGAAAGATTCTCAGAATATCTTAGATAAAGAAGATCAGAAATATTTACATCTTAAAAGATCTGAACATTAGGGAAGACTGGCTAATAAACAGCATCCTTTCTCGAAAGCTGAAATATTTTTGTCATATCAAGCGCCACGATGGATTAAAAAAATTATAGCAGAAGGCATGGTACCAGGAAGGAGGGGCAGGGGCCGACTGACACGAAGATGGGCACAGGATATAAGTGACTCCTTGAGTGTGAAAGTGCATGAGGCCGGAGAACTGGCGAGTGACCGAGTTTCTTTCAGGCAGACTGTGATGAGAGCGACGTTCTGCAAAGGACCTGCTACATGATGATGATACCCGAAGTGGTAAACATTTTGATTTAAATATACTATAAAAAATCTGAGATGGGGAGTGGGGGGGACTGCTTGGTCTTGAGGCCTGGTGTCCGCCTGAGGTGCTGGAAATTCCAGGTTCAATTCCCGGTAAGGGCTGGGATTTTTTCACGTGGACGTGGACTTCTAGTTATTCCCCCCTGGTCTGCGGGTAATGAAATCGGACGCCCGTGTGCATTGTTGCGCACGTGAAAATTTCCTGTGCAGTTGAAAATCAAAAAGATAAGCCTAACGGCGCTGCCCGGGCAAAATCTTAAGTTAAAATTCAACCCAAACTATGTCAGGAACCTCGCTTATGCTAGAGAGCCTGTGCACTGTGCTGAGCTTCTTCGGACTCAGCCTTGAGTTTAGAAGAAGAACGGAGCACTTATGGAGTACTACCCGTGTGCCATGATGTTTGTCCGTTGTTTACACTTCAATCTTCAAACTGTTTAAAAAATCTGCTGCCTTCCTTTGTGACAGGTGTCAAGATCTCTGGGGACCTGTATGCCTGGGTGATTGTCTTCGCCTTGCCTGTTAACTCCGCCCTCAATCCTCTGCTCTACACACTCACCACAAACTTGTTCAAGAAAAAGCTGCTGTCAAAGTTCACTATCGTGTTCAGGTATATGTTGTTCATAAAGTACCTCTGTGTCTCTTCTTATTATTATTAATAACGTTCACTCGCTGTTAAGCTGGACTTTTGTTTTGTTCCTGAATTCCAGTTCTGCTGGTACATCCGTTTAACAAATTCATTTTTTGCCAAATTCAGATTGTCGGTCCTCAACTCTCAGATGTAGATACATTCTGACTTTGAATGAAACACACGAGATGTTTTTTACGACATGCTTGTGATATTCTCGTTTATTTTATCAAGTTGTATTACTGGGTTTTTCGGTCCAGCTGTGTCTAATCGTATTAAATTAGCTCTTTGTTTTTGATGTAAATCGGACTTGATCTGATTGCACAATTGTCTTTCTTTTTTATAATTTAAATGTCTGCCAGTATCATCAATTGTCTCTCTGACGTTTAACTAATCTTTGCTTGTCTAATTCCCTCTTTCACTCTTTTTTCTTTCGCCTCACATTCTCTCTCTCTCTCTCTCTGTCGCTCTCTCGGTCTCTCTCTTCCTCTCGGTCTCTTTCTCCCCCTCTCTCTCTAATCTCCTTTATTAAATTGTACCTAAGTTTAATTGTATATAGAACTATATATTTGTTTTAATGTCTGCTTACTTCTCACACTTAGTTTCTCTGGAACACTACATTGGGGCCACATTACGAAAAGCTGCTCAGCTGTAGAATATCATCTTTTGTAGATCTATAGCAATCAAGAATATCATCTGTTGTAGATCTAAAGCAATCAAGCTCCTTGGCTGAGACAGAGCATGGATGTTGTGTGTGTTTAATGTGCGAATAACGACCTGAAAATCGATTTAATCACGCCGGGCTTATCCCACATGACTCGATCTCTCTCTCTGCAAAACTGCATTCCTTCCATTGATTGCGTCATATAAAGCAAATATTCGGTCTCTCCAGCGATGACCCCTAACCTGGCCGACACTTAACTCTGAATACAAGGCTGATCTGTATAATTAATCTGCTATTAGTTTCGTAAATCAATACTGAAATATATTTCGCTGCTCAATATGGGACCAGAGCACTTATGGGAATGTCCCGAATGCTGCGATGTCAGTTGGTAATTTAACTCCTATCGAAGTTAGTTACGTATCCTATACAGGACGTTACAGAACCAACCCCAGGATTTTTTGGCTGTTGTTGGTTTTACTAGGCCAATTTCACGTTCAGTAGTTTGTCATTTAACTGCACGGTCGGCACTTAGTGCCACTGTCGAAACGTACGCACGACATTCGTCCGCAGCTGGGATCAAGCCCGGCACTCGGGTATTACGAAGCATGTTCGCAACGCCTAAGCCACAGATGCCTACTCCCATCAGCTTAGTCTTAACAGTAGTCAAAACAGCTGCCATTTGCACAGAAGTTTTGGAAAAAGAAAAACATGTTTAAAAAAGTATTGATTGCCTGAATAATGTTGTGTAAGACAGACAGGTGGTGAGCCTAGGGATTTATGAGCCTGCGGCTAGTACAGCTTGCACGAATTATGCAGTTCAGCATTTACATTTTTTGCATCCCTTGCTTCCCTCCATAGAACAAAATTCCCTTTCATTCTATCGACCCTGGGTGTCCTCTGTGAGAGCCCGGCGCAAAAACCTCTCGGTCAGCCAAAAGATCGGAGGCTGAAGGCTAGACCTTAGCCTTCAGAACAAAAGACAATCATTTTTCTTTGATGCACAGAGGACCCTGGTCAGTCTGGTCAGTTCGTAATATTCCCTGTCTGTGTTCCAGGGGCCCTGCTATGGGACCTACCCAAAAGCATAAGAGTCGACTAAATGGAAGCTTTCTTCAAAGCCAGAGTGCTTCAGCCTGAAAAGCAAGAAACTAACAGTCTGCATACAAATAAGTCTGATCTGTCAAACGGATGCACACGCAACACTCAAGTTCTGGAACAGGACTGCAGTCCAGAAGTGGACGAACAACCAGAACTTTCCGCCAGAGTTTACAGCTGGTGAACGCGAAGAAGAAAAAGAAGAAAAAGAAGACGAAAAAGAAGACGAAAAGAAGAAGAAGAAGAAGGAAAAGAAGATGTTTTTAATAGATGTGAAATATAAAAGAGATTAATTGCCACAACTGTTTTACAGAACAGATTCGACACATTCGCCCTCCAGCTGCAAGACAACATCCTTGGCCCGTCAGACGCCAGATTGTGAGGTATGAACGTCTTCTGTGAGAGTTTGTGTGTGTGTATATGCATGTGCAAGCGCGCGTGTGCAGGCGCGCTTTTGTGTTTCATCATAGTCCTTGTCAACATCATCATCATAATTATCATATATTAACATTATAAACCCAAAAAAAAAGTAAAGATCCCTTTTCACGCCTAAGGGGCATCGGGCATATCGGCAGAGCGTCCCATATTTTTTACCGACCAATCGGCACTCAGTGTGGTCAGCATTGGGCTGTCTTTACTTCCCCAGGACAGCCACCCTGTTACCCATTTGAGGCGTCGTCCCATACCACGATAAAAATCCACGCAGCCCGCAGTGGGTTTCGATCGCGGTACGTTGGATTACGAGTCGAACTCGCAACGCTTTAGTCACGGACGCCGTCTCTACTAATGACGATAATGGTGATCATGATGATGGTGATGATTTTCTTTTTTTCTTTTTTAATCAACAACATAATTTTTATTTTTATTTTATTACTCTTAAAAGGGGCATTTTTAGTACAACATCAAGCACGAGACTGCAGGCGCAGGCAGTAAAGACAGCTCTCTGAAGGCTGAAATGTAGTAATGTAAAAAGTAAAGGACCATTTTCTACACCCATAGGCCTTATGTTTGTATTGTGCTAGAACTATATTCTAAATACTCATCGGCAGTCGGTGGGTCATGTGGTCATCAACACGCCGGCCGATTTTACTTCCCAGGGCTTTACCTAATACCCATCTTATGCTGGGCTACCCTTGATAGCCCATGTCATTTTGTCTGAATAGTACATCCCGTTGTATTGTAAAGTATACGGGACTTGCAAAGTTAGGACCCTTCGCAGAATGATTCCATTGAAAAGACTTAGATCTGGAGCATAACATAGATTTTCTGTCCGTAACATTCGGGTTAGTGAGGTAATGAGCATGCTGATAGATAGGCTGTTGCCTCTCCATTGAGCTACAAGCTATTTTACGACAAAGCAGACGTATTGAATTTTATATTGGATCAAGCCGGAAATAAGCAGAAGGCCTGGACCATATTCTACACAGAAGGAAAAAACACATGGGCTTTTAATCAGGCCGCAACTTACGAAGGGGGCAGGGCATGAATGAGAATATCCTATTAAAATGATGTAAATTCATTCAATCATTCATTCATTTAGTGTTTCATTAATTCATTCCCTTATTCATTTATCTTTTTCAATGATTATTGTTGCACCAACTCCAACTTCTTAATGGCATTGCTCATTATTCTTTATTACAGATGGATTTGCTCAGATACCACTGCCGCTCTCCGTCCAGGAGTACTGTCAGAACATACCTGTCTCCTAGAGTCAGTGATTTCAACGCTGAGGACAACCGAGGTGCCCCCACACCAGCAACAGACGTCAGTAACATTTACTACACAGCCGTACAACAGCGTCACTGAAGGAGACAAAATACACGCGGGGATAACACATTTCGTCTGTCTCAAAATGTGAAGTCAATAACACATTTATGTGATAATACAGTTCCTATCTGTCTTTAAATATGAGGCCAATATAAATGTTGAGAAAACACATGCCACCTATTTCATAAATGTCTTAAAATGTAAAACCACTACAAAATGTTGGGATAAGACATTTTGTTGTCTCATGATTAAAAACATGTGTTTCGTTTCGTGTCTGTATTAAAGTATGAAGTCAATTAATGAAAATCTTCAATCTTAAGTATGTCTTTAAGTATGAAGTTACTAGCAAGTGGTGTGATAACACATTTTATGTTGGTTTTAACATATAACGTTAATAAATATCTTGAGATGACACATTTTATGCCTGTCTTAAAATTTGAATTAAATAAAAATTATGTGATAACACCATTTCATTTTGGTCTTTACATATAAAATTAATAAATATGCTAACACATTTCATGTTCATCCTAAAATATGAAGGCAATAAATATTGTGTGAAAACATATTTTATGTCTATCTCAATCTACGAAGCCAGTTTTTTTTTTTTTTTTTTAATGTTGGAAACTGAAAATTTTAAATGTGTCTCAAAAATATAAGTATGTTGAGATACATTTCGTATGTGTCTTGAAATATCGGACACAAAGCACTCGCAGAAGCCAAACAACAACAAAACAAAACAACAACAAAAAACAACAAAACTCCTACTACCCTTGCTCTATACCTCTCAATCGTTACTTGTTCAGTGATCGTCAGTGATAAACACAACATGAGGCAACTTCTTTTAGAATAAAAAAACTCATTTGTTGCTGCTGTATTGCTTTTTTTTTGGGGGGGGGGGGGGGGGGCATTGTGGGGGAAAAAACAAAAGTATATACATAAAAATAAATGTAATTAAAAAGTAAATATCAATTTTCACGCATTTAGTCACTTATTACCAATTTATCCCACCTAATAATCACCATTCGGGTGTAGTTCTTCATGGACTAAAAATATACAGACATACAGACAGACTCGTGACTTTTCAGGGTTCAAGTAACGAAGTCAGGCCCAAAAGACAGTGATTTCCCCTGCTATTTATGCCAGGTCGTGTCGCAAGGTCTGTCCTATGTTGCAGGGGTGTGAAGCATAGTGATCTTCAAGCAACACAACGTTTTTTTTTTTTTTGTTGTTGTAGGCTGCACACGGTCATGGGACGTAGGCTGAGGCTGTAGGGTAAAGAGAAAGGGGGTGGGGGCGGGTGTTAGAGCCCGTTCTACATGTTTTCGGACCGTTAAAAGCGCTTACATCGTGGAATATAGAACATACTATATCAGCGGCCGCTGGCAGCACGGGTAAAATTCGCTTTGTTGCTGGCCGGTCACCAGATATGACACACCCGAAACATACGCAGACCTGCGACACGACCAGGCATGAACGGCAAGGGAAGTCACTCTGTCTCTGGGCTTTCCTTCGTTACAAGCATCCTTTTTACGTTTTATAATGTGTTGTTTGCGTGTGCGTGTCAGCAGTTGTTAGTGATCTTACTAACACAATCAGGAATAAGACGTACAAAAACATAATACAAGTAAACGATATAAAGCATATGGTGAAGAAAGAAAAAGATAGTGCATCAGGACCAGATGGAGCTATTAATTAAAGTAGTGTTTCCCTGTTGTAAATTTGAACAAAGAAGTCACAAACAATAGATTGCACAATTTATTGCCTGGCATATTTCGCTGTATCTCGTCAGGTGCATACTACAGTAACAATTAAATATTGAAGCAAAAAAGTGAATCCTTTATAACTGAAGTACAATTTCAACAACAATACAAAACATAACTGCCAGTTTTTACCAGGGCAGCCGTAAAGACAGAACCATCTCTTTCTGTATACATAGTTTCAGGCGCAGGTGACGAATCGCGTAAGCTTTGAGAAATCTTAGCGTTCTGCCATTTTTCTGATTTATGAGATATTTGAAAAACGTTGTCTTTCTCAAATCTGAACACGTGGTAACTAAAGACAACGCATTTTAAATCAATTCAGAAAAAAACAATTGCGACTCTATTTGGGTTAAAACCCAAGATCTTCAGGCTAGTATTTGAGCTTCTAGTCACTAAGCTACCGTTGCTCATATTGCTAGATGAGTACAGGTCAAATGGGTCACGTGTGGTAAAAAGGACGCAGTTCATAAGTTAAAAGTCAAAACCACCGACTTAAATACTATTGGTATGTCCCTTAATACTACTCGGACTTTCTCCACAGAAAAGCTAGTCATCTCCTGTGAGTGTCAACAAACGCATGAATTATGTAGCTCCTGTGACGACCTAAGCTATCTTTGTGTAGTCTAGAGTTGTAAAGTCAACAGCACAGCCTAGGGAAAACCTCAGCTAAGAGTTAATAAAAAATCTAAAAAAATACTGAAATCTAGCTCTAGGCTGCCTTTTGAAGGTGAAGCTGTGGAAAGGGCTTCGAGCTGGCTGTGGACTCAACAGAACGTGGGTGATTGGCCTCGGTAGACTGGTCCCAGCTCTTAGTGGAGAAGAACATTTCATTCCTAAAAGCTATAGTGCCCGATAAATGTCCGCCGGTGTCTCTTTGCCAATTTCTACAGTCTAACAACTGTCCGAGGTACAAACAAAATCTTGTCAGTCTGGTCTAAAAGATAGGCGGCTAATTTGTTACCGCACCGACAATATATGACACTGAATCTCATCATACCTGTTGAGAAGTCACCATTTCGTCTTGGTCCTGTCCGAATAAAGTGCAGCTGGGAAAGATCGAAGCTTGTCTTCAAGACTGAGGTCGGCCTAGCATACGAGACTATATAGGAAGTAACAGGCGGAAACATTCGTCGACGAGGGATCTTTCTACTGACGATCGCTGGACCCGTGCTTTGCTTGCTCCCTGTTCTTATTTTTATTGGTCATACAGATAGTTAAGTAACGCTCGAATATAATGCGTTAAAGAAATGCACGTCTGGGACTTTATGAGTTTATCCCAAACACAGAGGACCTAGATCTTTGGAACTCATGATCGCCTACCCCATTTGGCAAACCGGTCATGGAGCATTAAGTCTAACTATAAGGGTATTATACTAATTAAAACTTTATTACTGATAGCTTGATTTTTATTATAGTAATCGATCAATTAACATTATACCAGCTAAAATCATTGATTTAGAAGGGAAAAAAATTATTTTTAAATAAAGCGAGAAGTTTTTATGTGTTTTAACTTTATTCGTTTAATTTATCTTGGGAACAAATCCTTTGCAATTCTTTTTTTGTGAGACTGCTGAAGCAAAGATGGAAAGCGTGGCTAAAGCGTGGCTTGGTTTGGCCACTTTAAGCGTTCTTTTCGTAGTTCTGGTTTCAGAAATTATGACAAACGCTGACCGTCAATTCATACGAGATACTACTATCAGGTTTGTGGATAGATTGTTTGAGTATTTGATTGATTGGTAAGCACAGTGACTGACTGGTTGCATGATAAAATGATCAGTTGTTTGTTGTTTGATTGCTGGTTATTAGATTGATATACCAGCAGATGACTGAATGCTTGTGTGACTGACTGATTAGTTGATGGTGCCAGGGACTGGCAACTGGTGGTTGACTTTTCTGGTTTTGTAAAAAAAAAAAACCTGAATGAACCTAAAAACTGGTCTGAGACCAGACTTTGTTGTACACTCTGCGACAAAATGCCAGATTGTCCTGATAGAGCTCAGCGTACCGTTCGAGTCGCGGATCGAAGAAAACCACCTTTATATAAGCTAGAGAAAAACAGCGACCCGTTCGTCAGTTTGGGAAGCTATGAGGGATACGCAGTAAACTCTTTGCCGTCGAGGTAGGCGCAAGAAGGCTAATCTCCACCTCCACATACAAGGTACCAAAGCAGCTGGGCTTGCGAAGAAACAAGCACAAACGGGCACAAAAACAAATTGCCTAATGAGCTTGGAGCTGGCTGTGGAAACAAAGTAACAAAGTGGGGGGATAGGCCTCGGTAGACCTTTCAGAACCCCTAGTGGAAAAAAGCTTTTAAATCCCTAAAGCCAAAGTTGTTCGATTAACGTCTGGCCGTGCTACTACCAATTGCGCAACTACCAAAAAACGTCTGTTAGATGAACCGACGCCTTCGAAAGTACTACCGAAGGTTACGGATGAACCTGATTGTTTCCACTTGTTACGCTGGTCGTGCAGGAAGCGCCCAGTTTGCTACCGCAGCGACGATAACTTTAGTACCTGTTGCAAAACAACATTACGTGTTGTACGATAAAGCGCAGCAGGAGAAGACCACTACCTAGTGTCATGACCCTGGTTGACCCCTCCCCCCCCCTTCCTACAAGATTGTTCAGCCAGATAAGGGGCAGAGACAATTTTTGAAAATCTACCGTGCTTTGGAGTTCTTCTTATTACATAATGGTCAATCGATTGTAATTGATTAGTTGCTTGACTGGCAAGAGTGGGTGACTGGTCGCTTGATAGATAAATTGGTCCATTGTTAGTTTGTCGGTTGATTGGCTAGCATAATGGTTGTCTAGTTACTTTACTGATTGATGGGCTGGCTTTTTGATTTATTGATATGGTGGATGTTCTATTGGTCGATTGGTTACTCCCTAGCTTTGTGATAAGTTGATTGATTGATTCGTTATTCGGTTATTTGAGCATTTTTGACTGATCCATAGTTGATAGTTTTTTGACATGTTAGTATGTTGCGGGCTTGATTAGTTGATTCGTTGATTCGTTATTCACTGTGAATTGATGTATGATAAGCTAGATATCATGAGGGCTCTTTGGAAGCGAGTTAAAATTACGGAGGCACAGATATATCATTAGTCTGAGAAGAATGTCGCTGTGAGGTGTTACCGGGGAATGCCGACAATCAGCACTTAAGGGAAGGGCGAGACGGATATGCAATCTGACAGCTACCGTGTCATAGGAATTGGAACTCTTCTCTTGCTGCTGCAGATGGCGACAGAGTGCTTATGGGAGTGTCCTAGGTGCTGT